TTCCCACCACGCGAGTCTTTGAGCACTGGCCGAATTGGGGGAGAAAACATCTCAGTGAGCCCGGGTATTTGGTGAGTGGCTTGTCCCATTGTCCAACTGGTGCATTTACATCCTTTCACCCAGAGTTATTTCAGTCAAGCGCAAACATGGTTAGCTCGAAGGTAGAAAAGGGACCCCTTTTTCGGGCTGACCATGTTTTGAGGGGAACCGGAAACCCACCAAACCAAAAAAATGCGGGGCATCCTGATTTGGGCATGTTGGTGGACAAAATTATCTCTTTCTGTGTTTCAATCCTACACAGGGCCCTGTAGAAGGGCCCCCCCAACCCCCCCAACCAAGCATCTGCTGAAGGAGCTGCACGGCCTGCTGGTCGCTGCTGCAGGAGCCGCCCGTCTCCTCCTTCAGCCAGCCCCTCACCGTCTGCTGGGCCGCAGCGGCGGAGAGCTTGGGGTCGGCCGCCTGGAGGTCTCGGCAGAGGCGCAGCTCCAGCAGGGAGCGGCGCAGGCGCCAGAAGAAGAACTCCCGCGCGCTGGCCCACTGCAAGCTCTCCCGCACCACCCCCACCGCCTTCATGCGCCCCGCGCGGTCGTGCAGGTCCGCAAACTCGCACGCCACCTGGGAAAAAGCTGCGGAACTCGGGCGAACTCGAGCGCCCCGACCCCCACATGCCCCATGCCATGCCCGTTGCCTGCGTGTACAAAGGCTGCAACGCCTCTTCTCGGCGCCGGATCTCTTGGGTCAGGTCCTCCGATGGCGCAGATTTCTGGCGCTCGTCCAAGGCCTTGAGGCGGTCGTCCAGACGATGCATGAGGTCCACCCTCTGCTGGGCCCGGAATTTGACCTCCACGATCCCGGCAGGCTCCAGGATCCCGCCCCGAGAATCCTGGTCCGCGTACATCTCCATGACATCCGGGTTGATGGAAGGGTCCACCACCACCCAGCTCCCGCCCCGCAGCTCCCCCTCGGGGGGAATATACACGAACACGGGCTGCTTGTAGTCCACCAAGGCGTCCACGATCTGCGCGCCGAACTTGAGCACCTCGCCGTACATGTCCCGCGTGCCCCCAGAGAAGCCGCGCCAGTTGGCGAAGATAAGCAACGGCAGGTTCTCGCCCAAGTTGAAGTCGCGGATGGCCGTGGCGGTTTTGTGGGCGGAGTCCGGGAACCAAACCTGGCCGGCCTGCGGCTCCACGATCTCCCGGCTCTCTGGGTTCCCCGGGTCAGCGGGGATGCGGCGCTCCACGTTGCGGGTCTCCACAGCAATGACGCCCATGGGGATGCCGCCCAGCCGTGCCCGACCCACCACCACGCTGCGGCCCCAGCCCGCCATGTACTCCACGAAGCTGTCGCGGTCGAAAAAGCCCGACACCCACTGCCCGTTCTGCATGGCGCCCGCCAGCATGTGCCGCGGGTCGTACGGCTGCTTGGTGGGCCGGAAGTCCACTGAGCGGCTCGGGGGGTCCAGGGGTGCCACCTCTTGCGGCAGGGACCAGGTGTCCCGCGGCACAAAGGACAGCCACTCCATGATCTTCTCCGCGCCCTCCTGGTCGTGCTGCACCAGCTGGTGGGTGATGCCATTGGGCACCATAATCTGTGGCCCGCCCAGCTGGTCCTGCGAGAAGTACACGTTCTTGCCCAGCAGCTTGTTCAGCGCGCTGTAGCCAGTCAGCACCAGCGGCCCGTCCACAGACTGGATCACACGCTGGCCCAGGCGGTTCAGGTAGGCGCCGATGCCCACCGACCGGCCCGTCACGTAGGACAACGTGAAAATGTCGTTGTAGGCCCGACTTGTCTCCCCGGCGATGAGGCCGCTGCCCTGAAGGTTCTCCACACCAATGCCACCTTCCGTGGACTTCAAGCCCTGACCCACCACCGCCTCCAGCGCGTAGCCCACACCCTGCACCGGCCGTGCCACCACGGCGCCGCTGGGCAAACTCTTGTAGTCTGCCTCAGTGAGGTAAAGATACTCGAAGCCCTTGGAGGGGTCTGAGGCATCCTTCCACTGCACCTTGAGCTTGGGCATGATCTCATCCACCAAGCCGACCCGCGCACCGCTGTTGCAGGCAATGTAGACCCGCGGCAGGCCTCGCTTGCGCGCGTACTCCGTGGCCTTCTTGAAGAAAGCGTCCTCTGCCACCCCAAAGGAACCCGCCTGGTGGGTGACGTCGTTGGCAATGAGCACCACAGACCGCCCGTCCGGGAACTCCGGGGTGCGCAGCAAGAGGCGCCAAGCCAACATGCCGATGTCGTTGCTGCCGGCCTTCCTGGGCTCCACCTCCTGGACCTCCCCGTTCACGTTCACCACCAGCTCCAACGGCCTCAACAGCTCCTTGGGCGGCTTCACGTCTTCCCGACGCCGCACGAACGTCGCCCATGACTTCACCAGCGCAGCCTGGGCTGAGGGCAAGGCCGAGAGGGGAAGTCACAGGATCCTGCAAAATGCATCTCCTTTTGCATTTTGACCTGTCACGTGCCAGAGGAAGTGTACCGCTGACCGTTTCGCAAAATCGCGCCTCCAGCAACCCCAGGAACTCGGGGGCGTAGGTGGACCCCGCTTTCCGCGCGGCGGCGCGGCGGGCCCGCAGCCGCCCGTCCGCCGCCACGGGCTCCCGCTCCTCGCCCGTGGCCAGGTCCTTCCAGCGCGCCGGCGCGCCCGTGACCGGATCCACCTGGGTGGAAGGCACAGGGGACGAGGAAGCCAAGATGGGCTCCCCTTCAAGGGTTGCGCCTGCAGAGAACCCAAGATCAAAACCCCCTTCAAAGGGCACCAAGCCTCAAAAGAGCACAGCCTTGAAATGGTGATATCACAAGCATGGCCCCTTTTTGGATCTTGGTGTCGTCTCGCGCCCGTTTTTGCAAGGGGATAAAACACAAGACTGACGGCGATTGGGTAAAGCATCTTGCTGACAGGGGTTGGAAAGGCCTCAGATGCTAAGTAGACAGTTGGTTTAGGGTTAGCTCAGGGCGAAGGAAAGGATTGTGCGGGCTGGTTCAGGCTTGGGTTGAGTGGGTGATGACGGATAGGCTAAGGGGGGTATAGGATTGCGAGGTTGCTTAAGAATGTACTAAGAATAAGAGGCCAACAAGAGAATGCCACGGAGGCAGGAAAGCCTGAAAAGCCACAAAGCCAGCAAAGCCACTAAACAACCAAAGCTCATCAAAAGGAGAGAAAAACAAAAGAAGCAACCCCCAAAAAAAAACGGGGAAAAAAAAAACGGAATCCGGAGAAGCCAGAAAAACGCCAGAGAAGCAGCCAAAATCAGCGCAAAAAAACACCGCCAAAGAAGCTGAAGGCAAAAGCTGAAAGCAACAGCTGAAGGCAACAGCTGAAACATGTCCATGTGAGCCGCCTCCTCCCAGACCCCGGCGCATTTCATGTACTCCCCGCCGCTGGCGGCGGTGAAGCGCAGCACGCCCTGGCACCCGGCGGACTCTTCGCCCAGCCGCACCTCGCGGGGCTCGCGGGGCTCGCGGGGCTCCCGGGGCTCCCGGGGCTCCCGGGGCTCCCCGGAAGGCTTGGTACGTTAGGGGTGTGGAAATGAGAGCAGAGGGGCTGTTTTGAGGGTTCCCTAGAGTTACTGGAAATCCGGGGTGTGTCCTTTTCCGAGACCCCCTCTTAGGTGGTCAAGAAAAAGGGGAAACCAGAAGGAAAGCCCTTGTGCCATTTTGGCGGTGCCCTTAAACAAAAAATCGGGTCCTCTGGCTCATGCTCCCGCCACTGTTTGCTTTGGACACGAAGGTGTCTTCTCTTCCCTACCCACATGGGTGTCTAATCTTACGCTACCCCCAAAAACGAAAAATTTGGTGTTGCTGTTGCTTTCCGTTCAACCCACCACCACCACCACCACCACCACCACCACCACCACCACCACCACCACCACCACCACCACCACCACCACCACCACCACCACCACCACCACCACCACCACCACCACCACCACCACCACCACCACCACCACCACCACCACCACCACAACAACAACAACAACAACAACAACAACAACAACAACAACAACAACAACAACAACAACAACAACAACAACAACAACAACAACAACAACAACAACAACAACAACAACAACAACAACAACAACAACAACAACAACAACAACAACAACAACAACAACAACAACAACAACAACAACAACAACAACAACAACAACAACAACAACAACAACAACAACAACAACAACAACAACAACAACAACAACAACAACAACAACAACAACAACAACAACAACAACAACAACAACAACAACAACAACCACCACCACAACCACAACCACAACCACAACCACAACCACAACCACAACAACAACAACAACAACAACAACAACAACAACAACAACAACAACAACAACAACAACAACCACAACCACAACAAGGAACAAAAAGGAACAAAAAAAAAGAAGAAGAACAAAAACGGGCACCCCCCCCTCCCCCCCCCAAAAAAAAAAAAAAAGACGGGGCATGCGACGAAGGGGCCTTCAGGGTGATCTCATCCACCCAGAGGGACTGGAGCAGCGCCCCGTGTCGAGCCACAAACTCCGCCACGAAGGACTCCAACAGACGGAACAAATCCAGCGCCACCTCAGGTCGCAGCGCTCGAAACTTCGGCTTCAGCTTGGGGGGGGGGGCGACCCCAAAGATGGAAACGTCGGTCAGCCTTCTTGCCCGAAAACGGAAAACAAAAAGGGGGGGTAGCCTACAATGTAAACACGCACACACTGGTGTCTGTCGGTTCAACCACCCCCCCCCCCCCGCCCAGAAACAAATATGTGTACATATATACATATATGTGAAGATGCCCAGGTGGTATCCCCAGCAGCAAGCCCCGTGAGCCACTCCAGAGCCTATGGACCCCAAAGCTTTCAGCTGTTGGGAGGAAAATGGTGGTACATGACAGTGCAAATGACACGGAAGACACCAACAAAATTGAAGATCCCACCCCCCAAAACATGTAAACATGACCCCATAAATGACATGGCCCTCACATGGAAGATGCCAACAAATCACAAGGGAGTCATGTGTGTGTGTGTGTGTGTCCCAAACAAAAAAAAAGGAAGATAATAAATGGCGGAACATGACGATAAAACGACTCTTTTTTTTGGGCCCTAGCATGGAAGAAACACCTTGGGAGTGGTCCTCGCTTTATTTGTTTTGTGTGGGACCACACCTATTTGTTCTGCGCTGGGGTGGTTCCAATAGGCCTCATCTCGACAAAAGAAACTAGAAATCCTAAAACTTGAACAAAGGAACTCCCCGCAAAGGACCTTCTCAGCGGTGTTTGCTCGTGTTACCGCGGAATCGGTGAGCTCGTTACGATTTGCCCAAAAAAGGCAATTGACTTATTACCGGCAACCGCGAGCAATCCGCAGCATCCCTGAGGCTGAGCAGCGATATCGGCAAGAGCCGTCAAGTTCAGGAAAAGGCGACCTAGGCTGAAAAAAGTGACCCACCACGCTGAAAGCATTTGTGTGTGTGTGTCTGTGTAGAATCGTCGGGAAGATGAAGCCCTCGTGGAAAAGGAGGGTCAAGGAAAACAAAAAGGAACCCCCCAGCTGAAAAACATGAGAGAAACACTCGGTTTGATACACCGCTTGCAGTATGTCGCACGGCCGATATACCTGAACAGTTAGTTTTCATGGTGCCGCCGGGGGGGGGGAAAAAGGAAGAAGAAGAAAACATGATCTTCCTTGCGGGCCCTGAAAATGCACTGGCAACTTTGGCTGCTCCATTTGCTAGGGCTGGAGTCCACTGGGAAACCACTAGGAAACCACTGAATCAGTAATCCGCATCAGCAGCATCGCTCTCAGCCACGTCCCAACCAACCCGAGCGATGGTCTGTCGGTCTGTCGGTCGGTCACCGCCAGCCCTAAGAACATCCAGACCTGCGGAATACAAAGAACCCTTTTGAAGCAGCTTGGTCAAAACAGGTCCGAAAGGGTGTCTCTTTTTAAGGGGACCCTCCAAAACGGTGGTTGTTTCCTTTTGGTTTCTCTTCAAATCCGGCCAAAACAGGTCAAAATATCTTGGTGCGTCATCGCAACTTTCTCAAACTGCCGGACCAAGCCAAAAATGGCTTGGAAGACGCCTGCCACGTCGAACGACCTCAAAAAATACCTTAAAAGGAAGTCCAGGAAGACCAGCCAGTTCCACAGGAAAACGCCATGGTTGGTAAAATGGCAGGTGCCACCCCCAGGAATCGGATCGATGTTGAAAGAGGAATCTGGGAAATGTTCGAAGATTTGTTTGACACATGGTACTGGTAACTCACCTTTCATCATAAATGCCAACTTCGGAGTACATCACAAGCCAATCAGAAGCAATTCCCCCTTTTCAGGGAGCCTCATCTCCGGAGAATTCCTCAACTATCATTTGTTTCGCTTCTTGACTTATGTGGAGTTGAGTGGCTGTTTTCGAATTCGACAAGGGGACCTTGGCTGTTTTGCAAGGTCCTTGGAGTTCAACCAGGAGAGCCCGCAAATCGTCACGAAACAAAACAAAAAAAGCTGTACCTTGAAATAAGACACGTGCTTGCTGTATATACAAATATGAAAATTCATAAACAAATATCTGGGCAATTACTGTAATCCCCAAACTGGAATTGAGGAATCTGCGGATAAGAACCTTCATGGGTGTTTGGTCGATTGAATCCGGCATCGGTGAGCTCCTTATAATCTGCACAGATCTACCATCGGGTATGGGTCGCAAATAGCGGACCCGATTTTTTCGTGCTTTCCCTACAAACCAAACCCAAACAGGATACCCATCAATCCACACCACCAAACCCCCAACCTGGACCACCAACTAAGGGCTACCTCAGAAAGGGGGAAAAAAAACGGGAAAAAAGAACAAAGGCAACCAGAACAAAGCACACCGAAAAACAAACCCCCCCAAAAAAAAACAAAACTAAAAGACACCAAAAAAAACAAGAATCAAAAAAACAGAAACAAAACCAAAAAACAAGCAACAAGAACAAACAACAACTAAAACAAAACAAATACAAAACAAAACGAAAAGTTGCAACCACACTTTTCAGGTTGTGCTGGGGCGCCTTCCGCTCCAGCACACTTCGGCGATAGCCTGGCGCACTCCATCTCGTGCAGCGACGCCAGCCTACAGATTCAGAGCTCAGAGAGACGCGCTGGTGGGAGCAAAACCAGTTGCAGGAAGCGGTTTTTAGGTTATGGATGCCAAAAAAAACATGTGAGTGAGCCAAACACATTGAACCAAATTGTAAACTATGGTAGATTGGGGGAGGATTCTTCCAACATTTGGGGCATACACCATAAGGGGAGCCAAAGAGAAGATTGTGACTCATGGTCCATCCCTAAAGTTGCCAGAACTGGGCTGCGGCTCCCCTTTTTTCCATGGCTCTGAAACATATGTGGTTGTTTGTTTTCCGGGGACCCCAAAATGGAGCCCGGCGTTTCATTGGACTTCCCTGTCAAACCATCCACGGGTATATGTACCTGTACGGAAAACCCCGAAATTTTGAAAGAGGAAGGGAACCGGGAAACCGATTCTCAAATCTACCGCAGCTTGCCATGGCTAACTGGCGATGCATGCGTCCTTTTGGAAGTATCCATGGACTAGGCTGATGAGTTTCGAAGACTGAGGATCCCGTTCAGAGGAAGATAGCCGGGTTCCATTTTAGTGAATAGGAAGGTCCTCTGTGAATTGGTCAAAAAAGTCCAATTATTCTGCAGGGAACTTGTGTTGGGGAAATTGTCTCAGTAGAAAAACTCCCCCCATATGCGCGGTTTCCCATCTGGGTTCTCGTGACAGCCTCAAAAAGAGCCTACACCTTCTCTAGGTTGCTTTCTGCTCCCCTGCAAAAAGTTTAACTTTTAGCGGTTTAATTCGGAAAACCCAGTAGTTGGCTCAAAAAGTTAAAGTCCTAACATCCCTCGGCAAAATGCACCAAAGAAGTTTGGCAAAACGGGCCAGTTCGGGTTCCACACCTCCAAAAGGAAAGCTGAACTTGTTGGAGCCCCAGAAGGTTCAACAAGAGCCGCCCGGCTCCAAGTGGGAAGCTTGCTGTCCGACCCATGCCGCTCCAAGAAACTGGAGAGGAGTCTTGATTGGCTGAACTCTGCAGAAAATTCGTTTGCTTGGGGTGAACTTGTGACCTCAAAAGTCAGCGGATTTTATCTGCAATTAAGGGTCGACCAGCAAAGGAATCCTGCTGGGTCAGGCGCTCAACAGTTCAACTGGGTTTTCCTGGGAAAAAATAACACCCCAAAAAATTGGGCGCCAAGCCTTGTTGAAGCGCCAAGGAGCAGCAAAGCTTCCAAGCGTGATGCCCAGTTGTTGCTGCTGGGGTGAAAGCCCACGCGAGTGTGGGACACCGTGCCTCAAAGCAAATGCTTCGCGAAGCGCGCTCCATGCATAGAGTCCGACCAAGGTGCCATGACCTTCGCATGGCTCCCCTTCCAAGTCCGCTCAGTTCTGAATCAGTATTTCAGCCAGGCAGTTGAGGGAGTCAAAGGCCCGGCTGTCCTTTTGGAGACAAGATCATGCTTTCCGCTGATAAACCGAGTCTCGCGCTCCATCTGTGTTCGTTCTGACCAAGAAAGACACCCTATGGCTACATGACTGGAACCTGCAAAAAATGACCAGCTGGAATCCCATGTGCCAAACTTAAACGAGCAACAACACCCCTGCCCTCTCCCCCTTCAGAGGAAAACCCATATCAGGCTCCATGGTTATGAGGAGATACTTCCTTCCAACTGCTCTCCAGCTGTAGGGATATTCAGCCATTGTAGGCTGGTTCTGGTTTGGGGGTGGAAACCATCCTTGACAGCTTCAAGGTTACGATTGCGGCACTGGAACCCTTGAAAACGGCCGTGTGGGTCCTGACACCTCCGCCACCTTTAACCCCAAGTTTATAGACCCCCTTGTACTACGCAGTAAAAAAGAGAACCCCGAGTGCTTCCCCGTATCTCCTTGCCCGCTCTTTCGATTCCGTGGCATCTGTTCTCGGCGAGCCGCGCACGTGCAGCACCTTCGCCGCCTTCCCCTCCAGCGGCGAGGCCAGGAACACCTCCGAGGCCGCATCCTCGCAGGTGACCTCGTTGCGCGACACGCGCGACACGCGCGACACGCGCGACACGCGCCACACGCGCGTCACGCGCATGTGGTGGCTTGGAGTGGTTTGGCTAAGGGTGGTTTCTCGTTTACCCTCAACAAGAAGGGCTCTCAAGTCCCAAAACCACCAAGCCACACCAACCAGGGACTTCTTTGAAAACAAAACGAGTGCCCTCAAAAGAACTAACATGGATCTTGGTTGTAATTGCGTTCGCTTCCCTGGAAAGAAAAAGGAAATGGGCCCCGAGCCTCGCAGCCATGCAACTGTAGGCATCAAACCTAGGGTGCTAGCCCTGCGTCTACATGGATGTGGTGTTCTGTGGGGAACCCATTTCTTCGCCACATTTCTGCAGTTTCGGGGCTCCTGGGTTTCTGTCATGGGATTTTCTGGCAATTGGACACGGAACTTGTTTGGCACGGTGTTTCAAACCGAAACACAAAAGAGATCCACGTAAGGAAACACTCAGGTTGGTCAGGATTGGACTCGTTGCTTGTTTCCTTTGCTTGGGTTGGATTCCTGGGCGTGTGGCCCGTGGACGGCGCACCTAGTGCAAACACGGCGTTCGACGTTTCCGTGAGTATCGCGGAAGAATCAATGTTTTCCGTCGCAGAAGGTGCCGAGGGATCAAAGCACTGGGATTTTGCGTCTGTCTTGAGATGCAGGAACCCAGGAATCCCCATATAACATCAAATTGCACATTTGAACCCTTTTGCACCACATGCCAGTTGCCCACCAAAATGGGTTCAAAAGGGATCATCGATTCTTCTGCACGGGTTCTCCCCAAACAGTCACCAAAGCTCCTACACTTTGGATTCAGAAACAGTTACCGAAACAATCGGCTCCACGTTTTGACGCTCCTCGCTTTGCGGGGAGCGTACATTTCATCCATCATCTCGGTCTTCAAACAATTGGCGACTTCCTGAATGAACCGTTCACCCCCCCCCCCCCCCGGGTTTTCAGACCCTCCGGGTAAAACGCCCTCGACCCCGTCCAATTCCCCGCCGTCCGCGCCCCCCCCCGCTCGCGCGAACCGCTCGAGCGCCGGGACCTGAGGCCCGGAGGCCCTGAGGGTTTGAGGCTGCGGCCGAGGGCAGGTGCTCCAGGCTGAAGGCCTCCGCGAGGCGCTCGGCCTCCAGGAGGCACAGACTGGTGGCGTGGAGGTCCCGAAAGGCCACCACCTGAGATGGTCGGAAGGTCGGAAGGTGGGGGTGGTGGGGAGGTAGGGTGGAAGGTTGGGGGGGAAGGAAGCATTGGCTTTTTAGCGCAAATGTGGGGAAAAGGGGGGGTTCTGGAAATTGATTGAACCTGGGACAAAAAGCGCCGAACCTGGGAGAAAAGAGATCTGGTCCGGAGGTGGGGAAGGGAAGCAACCCTTGGCTTTTTGGCGCCAACATGGAAAACAGGCCTTACCAAAGAAACAACGAATGCAACATCTGTAGAACCACGGTACCCTCAAAGCAACCCCCAGCAAGGGAAGGGGGGAAACCTAAGACTCGCTCGAGTGGATTGGTGAGAAGCCCAGACTTCTTGTTTACCCGAAAAAGAATAAGAAGAAAAAAGGAAAAAAGCTGGTTCTTCAGACGGGGTTCTCCTGAAGCAAGATACAAAGATACAGTCTGCCGATCAGATGAAGGTCTAATATCCCTTTCTTCCATCATGATCTCTCGGCCGTGGTGGAATTCCCCCCCTGGTCAGTGGTTGATTCCCATATGCGGCACGACCATCTCCCGCAGCCAACCCGGGCTATCTCAAACCTTGGCAAATGAAAACGCATGGATGGGAGTTGCCTGTGGGGCCCCCAGAGAAAGTCCGCTTCCTTTTGGTAAAGAAACACCCTGCAACAAGAAGCAGGGAGCATAGTTGGGAAACATGGGTGCAGTGATACCAAAGTAGGTGTCCTTTTCAAGCAACCCTCCAAAAATTGACACACTCATTTGAGGTAGAGCCAGCTTTACCTGAGCAGAATGATGGTTTAGAGGGAAACCACGGGGACCCACAAGTGGAGGCTCCCTGAAAATGCGTTTCCTTTGTTGCGGACCCCAGTTCTACTCACGCCCACTTGTTTCTCAATATGGAGGTCCCTTTTCTGTGATCATGGTGGCCTTTTGGTTTCCCTTTAAGAATAAAACAAAACCGGGGGTCCGTTGTGAGCAACCCCCAGGCCTCCGTCCAGCTGGACCGCTCGGCAAAGAAGGCGTAGCCTGAGGCGTCAATGGGCTTCCCTCTTGTTGGCGTTGCGGTTGTTTAGGAAGCACAAGCATTCCCGTTTGAGCCAGAGCAATTCAAAAATCGTGAGTCATGGTGAGTCACCGCTAGTTTTCTGGGAGTCCCGAATGTGCAAAATGGTTAAAGTTATGCCCCATACCACAATGACAAAAACTGACAGTGGTTGAAAGAACCGCCATGGAGTATGGGTCAAAGCAGTCCGACCCGCTTGCAGCGCCATTTCGAGGTCCAAGTGCTTGATGATGCCCAAAACCATTGGCTTTCGGTTCGACCATCATGCCTATAAACTGACTGGTGCATTTGGAACCCTCCCATCTGCTCCTTTGTTTTGTGCTGTTGACCCCTCTGCAAAAAGCTCGACTTTTTGTGGGTTTGATGGGACACCCTGCATTTCCCAAAAAACCTGAAAGTCGAAAACCCAAAAGGCCATCAAAAAACACACAGCCACTTCCTGCTCGGCCATCCGTCCAACAAAACCTCCCAGCGGGTTTGTGGCAGCCCACCCGCACGAGGCCAAGAGGCGCGGCTCATCGGAGTTGCTGCCCAGCGTAGTGGCGCGCTTGGGCACCGTCAGGATTACCTCGCGACTTGCGAGAGCTGAGAAGTGACCCCCAAGAACCATCAAAGGCTTGGGTTACAAAAATTCTACAGGGAAACAGCATATTTAGGGTGTTGTGGGGCCATTTCCTGTAGTTCCTGTAGCGAAACCCTTTGACCCCAAGAACCATCCAACTGGTGGGTTCCTCTAAGGGGATGCTTGGGTGCATTCCCACATTCCCTGCCTCTTCGCACCGCAGGGAATGAGGGAATGAACATAGGTGTCCTTGGAAATTGGATGGGCTTCCCTGGCACATCGCCCTTACATACCCCTTATAGGCAACACTGTGAGTCTCAGCTGTGCCCATCATGTGTATATAAGGGGTATGCAAGTGGGACAAGTTAAGGGCCATTCACAAGGGCCCACTAATTTCTGCCGCCTAGAAAACTAACCTAATAAGGACACCTATGGGAATGACCCTAAACCATCCAACTGGTTTCCTAGCCTGGGTTCATTCCCACATTCCCTACTTGTCGCACCAGCAAGATGAACAAGGGGTAGTTTGGAGGATGTCGCTTTGGGAAGTCAAGGCTGCAGTTTTGCACGGGCCTGGGCTCCAACTGGGTCTCCAGAAAGATCCCTTTGGACATGAACCACCCTGAGTGAAAAGGCCCTAAATTATCAGAATGGGGGACTAAGCTGAGTCATAGTCCTGGGAAGATGAGATTAGCAATAATTCAGGCCTTGTATTGCCTCAAGATAGTCGTAAATTCAGGATTTCCGAAGCTTTGGACACAAACCACCCATAGATGAACACAAGTCCCTTTGTATCAACCACTTCTAGGTTAACAAGCTTCCCTTTGACGTCTCTCACCCTGTTGCACCCCTTTAAATCATGATTCAAGTCCCCTGTCCACTTCCATTGTTGGAAGAATTAACTGCGCTGTGCTGACTTTGCTTGATGGCAACCGCGGGATTCCAATCAACCGAGCTCTCGGGCGTCTCTAGGTTTCAAATTTGGTCTTGTCCGAACATGGATCGACCTACCCCTTTATGGTTGGTCTTCTGTGCTCAAATAACTTTTTAGAAAACCCCTTTAAACGCTCTCCTGAGAAACCTGGGCGCTGCTGGAATGCGATGCTCTTCAACCTGATGGCATGTATGCGTTTTTCTTGAGCTTTGGTACATTGGTTTTAGAGGAAAACCAAAACCCTATGTGTTTCTCGCAACCAAGGTGGTTGGACAGAAATCACCACCTAAACCATGTCCACCAGAGGGTCCCCAGTTGAAATTCAATGCTACAGAAAAGTAAAGCAAACACATATGTATATATAGATATATGTAAATAGCACACATAATGACAAAGTACATAAGTAATGGTGCATTTCAGGCTTGTATTTGCTTTTTTCTCCTTCTTTTTTTCTCACGATAACGCCAAGAAAAAGGGGTTAACTCTTTTTGGAGTTGGTACACCTTAGTTGGTTGTTTGGATTGGTGGATTGGTGGATTGGTGGATTGGTTTGGTGGCTGAGATCCCGAAAACTTCTTGCACCCTCCTCCGCCTGCCCCCGCCGCGGGTTCCGAGCCTCGGCGCTGCCCTGCGCCTTGAGCTTGGCCTCCACCGAGCGCAGCTGCTGATGCACCTGCGACGCGAGTCCAAAGTCCAACCGAGAGCAAAAACGTGGAGTGGGACGGGGACACCGGGCGGGGAGGTGTTTTGTCTATATATATATATATGTACATATAGTAAAGAAGGGTGGTGTTGTTTTTGCTGTTGTTGGTGTTTTGTGTTCTTCTTCTTTTTCCGATGTTTTTCTTTGTTCTCGATGTTGTTGATGTTTCTTGTTGTTGGTTCTCGAGATTGTTGCTGCCCGAAGAGGTCCACGTTGACCTTGGTGGTCTGAACATTTGGTGCTCTGTGTTTGCGGGAAAACCCGAGGTGCTTCACACTGTTCAGAGCAAAAGGTAGAACCGAAAAGGGGGGAACAAAAATCGGGGCACGCCGAAAAGGAACAAGAAGGACGGGTAGAAGGGGCGTCTCTGAGCAAAGGAACATTTCTTTGGGTTCCCGATTTCGGGAGAAAGAAAGGGAGGGAAACCAAATCAGGAAAATACCAAAAAGGGAGATTCAAAAGAATTTGAGAGAAGCCCAACCAAAAAGGATGCCATATGTTTGGGGTTCCCTCAGTTTTATGGGATTTGTGCTTTACCTGAAACGAAACGAAACTGATCGGGCCCGTTGCCTTGAAGGCTGTCGGGGCCGCCAAGTCTGAGCGGGCCTAGTTTCTTCTTGAGCCGCCTGGAGGTTCCAAAACCAAAAAGATTGGGTCAAAGCAGGTCTCGCGGGGCCTTCCCAAGATGAATATCCGACAAACGGATTGGATGCGTTTTCTGTGGAATAGTTGTTTACCACTTGCTCCTCTTTCAATGCTTTCTTAGTACTCTTTTCGTACTCTAAGTGCTCGTTTGCTATCCTAGAAAAATGGTTCCACAAAAAAGGCATCCAAAGCGTTGGCTAGCGTAGCGAAACCAGGAAATCTTCGAAGGTAGGGCTTGAAAAACACCAGTTTGGAGGTGACCCAGTTTTGAGAAAGCCAAGTCTTTGCCTTCTGTCAACCCCCCGAATCTTGAGGCCTACCCATTGAATCCCTTTTCCTGCTTTGTGGTTACCCGATGGAACTGCCAAGGGGTAAGGGGAAGCACCTTAGATCCGATTTGGACCTCATGGGGGGACCTGACAAAAGGTTTAGTGTTAGTCCTGGACCGCTGGCTGGTGAGACTTGTTGGTTCTGGTTCGTAGAACTGGACCCCTCCCGAAAATCACACGCAACCCCAAGACCCATCTCCATTGGGGATCGGACTTGTTTCTTAGCGTCCCTCCGTTGATTTGCCAGAACTTCAACAGTGAACAACGGCGATGCCCCCGAGTTTTGTGGTGTCTTGGTTGCCAACTTTCTCTTTCCAACCTTTCCAACAATCACAAAAGCTGAGAGGCTCCCAAAAGAAAAGTCTTCCAAAAACCCTCCGGCCAGCTTTTCTGATCACCCCACTTCCTGACTGGACGGGCCAAGCAAAGCCCCAACTATTTGATTGCCCACTCACGTGGTCTTCCCAAACCCTCAAAGTACATGAACAAGGGTTCATGTACTCTTGCTTCGACCCCCTGCACAGGCTCAAGCGTTTTGCCGGTTGGGGAATCAGTTGTCCAAAACTTGAAAGGTCTCTCTGCTCCGTTGGCACATGGGGCCAACTTCGCCTTTCTGTGTAGTGGCCCAACAAAAGACCGTGGTTGGTAGCTCTTCAAAAAGCAAAGCTCGGATTCATAAACCTCTGGTTGATTTTGACTGGGGTGTCTCCCCACTAAAAGTGCGGTGTTCATCACTCTTGGCGAGAGTAGATTCGCGGCTTGTTCTCTCATCCGGGGTGTTTTGCAGTTTTTGTTCTCAACGTTTTGGCCTTTTCAGGTCTTGGGGGTCGAGGTCTTGGCGTAGATTCGCGGGTTCCCTCCGGCCATTTCGCTTGCCCACCTCCTGCACCAGTTGCTGAAACTTCTCCTCGGAGCCGCTGCAGGTCATAGCCTCCTCCCCCAGCAGGATCAAGTGCAGGCGGCTCACCTCGCTTCGGCTTGAGGCCCAGAACCGGAAGAAAAGAAAAGTACTTGGAGGTAGGGGACAGTCCAACTACAATTGGAGTCTGCTTTTTTCCATTGTCTTTTGAGCAGCCTGGTTTACAATCCGTACTTGAAGCCTCTTGTTCAACCAGATTGTTCAACCATCCCTAGTTGACCAGAATTTTCCACTGAGTGCACAACTCGTCTGAATTGAGCTACCTTCATCTCGAGGAAATCACCCGGCCGATTGCCCCCAGCGAATGGTTGGGGGCAAGCAAGTCATTTCAGGATCTCTCTCTCTCTCTCTCGACTGGCAGTCGGGGGAGAAACACCCCAAACTCCTTCTGTCACAAAGTCCAGTCTGTCAAACGTCCCCAAGTGCCTCCCACATTTCCAGCCCAGCCGCCCGCGAAGGGTCGTTCTTCTCGTCCAGAATTTTCAGGTCCCCGGAGAGGAAAGTCCTCGCAAGGTGGGACCCAACCCTTCACAACCAGGGGGGTATATGAGCCACGGTGAAATATGCTGCAAACAATGGACATAGGAGAACTAGGAATCTGCCACCCTGGTTGTGTGGCCAAAATGTGGTGAGTTCCCCATGACCCAAACGAGTCCCCCATGTTCCACAAACCCAAAGCGACCAAAACACTTCTGGATATGTTGATCAATGTGAAAACGAGTCTCCCTTGTGCATGTTGAAAGAACCACACCTCTGCAACTCAACCGGGAAGCTGCACATGTTGAGATCCATTCAAAACTACCACCAGAAAAGATAGCCAAGCAAAACGCTTGGGACAGTGGCTTCAGGGGGTTTTGAATGGCCCTTTTGGCAGGGTCGACTCCTCACATATTGCCCTTTGGGCAAGCCAACGAGTGTTCTAGACACAGGGTCGACTCCTTTTGGGTGATGCCTTCCTTTCACTATGGACCAAACAGAAAAGCCTATTTTCCTGTGCATGCCCTCACTATGATCGGGTGCTTCCTTCAAACCACCCCTTAAAACAACCAAAAAAAACACGCCTGGTTTGCAAGGGGCCATTAGTTTAATTGCCCAGATGAACATGGAGCTCCAAAAACCACCAGAGGAACTTCCTGAGAAATGGCCCCCGGGTCTCACTTCACCTCGCCAGCCCCCCCCCCCCCTTCGAGCGCGTCCTCAGCGCCGCCAAGTCCGGGCACACCTTGCAGAGCCCCTGCCACACCGTCATGGCGCCGCTCACGGGCATGCCGGGATGCCGGAACTTCCACTTGGCCTGGGATACTCGCGCAGGAGGTTTGGCGGGCGGGGCGGGGAGGGGGGGGGGGATGATGATGATGCGGTCTTCTTTGGGTCTTTGGAGGCTCCGAAAAATGGTGGAGCCCCTGTTTAGATGGTTTTGAAGGGAAGCCACTGCAACAACCTGACTCCAGCGGATCCCTGCACAGGGCTAGATGTATGCCCTTGGAAGAAGCGTCAACAGCAAGCCTCCAGCAGGCGCTTGCCTCGGAAACCGCCCATTTCTGCGGCTCCCCCACGAAAGCCGCTCGCGAACGCCCAGTTCACTTCCTAAAAACATGCCAATTCTTTGACAGCACCCCTTTTGAGTGTGGTTGGTCTGCTGGCCAACGCCAAAATACCACTTCAAGTGCGACCACCTTGGGACCTCCAGAAAAAAACTCGCCAACGGAGAAAGTTGGTTGGTGGGGAAGAAATGGTTGGTAGATGGAGGAAGGAGCCCAGATCCCGTCCATCCAACAAAGGTCTTCAAAAAACATTATGTTGCTATGTTTTACCCTTTACACTAACTTTACACGACAAATCAACCCAAATCATAATGCAATCCGAAGCCCTCGACCTGTACCCACCTTAAGCCTCAGGACGGGAACCCTCAACCCTTTCTTCCCTTCAGCTCAACCCCAAGAATTGTTTAAAAGAACGCCAACCCCAAACAAGAGAAGAAAAAAAGAAAGGAAAAAAAGGGGAAGAAAACAAAACGTCGCCTGCCGAGAAAATCTCCGGGCCGACGCCCGACGCCACCAGACCACCCGACCACCCGCACCAAACGCCCGACTCCCCGTCCTGGAGGCCCCCAGGTCCAACAGCCACGCGGATGGTGGAGTCCTTCGACACCCCGAAGGAGCGGTAGCTGCGCCGCACCAGGACCTCCAGGGCCTTGCCTCGGCAAAAAAAAACGAGGAAGAGAGAAAAGAAAAGAAGAAAAAAAACGAGGTCTTGTTGGTTTGTTTTGGTGTTGTTTGCTTGTTGCTTGATGTTTGTTGTTTGATGTGTGTTGTTGGTTTCTTTCTTTTTCTTGTTCTTGTTCTCTCTTCTTCTTTTTGCTTTTTTTGGGGGGGGGGAGGGGGGTGCCTCAGCTGGTTGTCGTTTTGTGTTTGTTGGTGTTTGTTGCTGTTTGTTGTTTTTGTTTGATGCTTGAATTATTTCTTTTTTGGTTGCGGGGGTGTTCCACTTCCCCTAAGTCTAGGAGGGTACCGGCGGGACAAAGACCACCAAACAAGACATGATGGTTCGATAGGCGGGGGAATGACCCAATCAACCATCCCCTGCGCTTTCCGGAAAGGGAATGCCTAGGTTCATTCCCAACACCCTGAGTCATAGTGATTAAAACCAACAGACGTCTTTTTTTGTTGGGGGGGGCCACTTCCCAAGTCTAGGGGTACCTTCCCCTTCCTTAACGGGATCCTCTCTACACAAAACCACCAATCAGCTTCCCTCTGATTGGTGATTTGGAGACCAGATGTTTCGTGGTGTTCCGGGTTGGGAAATCCCATTTACCCTCGACAAGAAACAGGGGTTCAAGCCCAAATCCAAACCACCAATCCAAACCACCAATTAAAAGTTACCTGAGCCAAACAAAAACCAATCCAAAAAGCAGCAGCCACCACCAAACATCAAAATAATCAAGGGTCTCAGCTTCACCCTAATTGGTGTTTTGGTTTGGTGGTGTTCCGGGGGTGGTTTCCCCTTTAGCCTAGGGTTCAAAGCACCAATCCCAGGTGCCTGAGATTGGGTTGTGCTGGCGCCCAAACATGGCCAAAACCCCTTTAGGTTGAAACAGGGTTGCTCCGAGTTCCCAGGTTCCCACAAGGAAAATAGGAAAACAACGAGGGAACTGATTCCTTTTCGGGGACCCCTCTCTTGGGTTGCTTTGGGCTATTCAACCAACCAAGAGGGGGGGCTGATTTAAGAAGGACGCACCCAAGTGGGCTTCTCAGGAAAATGAACGCACCGCTGTTGGCTTGAAACAAGGCTGCACCAACGGCCCAGCGTCCTTGTTCTTTTGCGCCTGTCTTGGCCCAACTCTCCCCGGTACACCAAACATAAAATGTGAAATGTCCTTCTCAAAGGCGCACCCCAAAAACTGGTGGGTTCCTTTTGGTCGTCTCTCAAAACCATCCGACAAGGGGTTCCTATTTTGACACATACCCATATTTACGCTATCCTATAATACTTCCAACATATGTTGGAGCGGGAAAAAAGGGTCACCCCATTTTGGGGCGTTCAATGCCAAAGAGAAACTGCCCCAGCGCTGCTTGCAAAAGGTGTTTCAACAACCTGACCCTGGCCCTCTTTGGGAAATGTTGCCTCAATGCGACCAGGGAGCCCCGACTTGAAAGAGGACCTAAAAATCCCTTTGGTTTCCTTTTCAAAGAGGGGCTCCTTGAAAAGAACACACACTGACAAAGTGGCCAACATTGTGGGCCGGCTGGCACCCTGCAAGAACAAATTGTGAGAACTTGGCATACACCACCATGCCAGATGTCCATGGATCAAAATCCAAATCGTGCCCCCAGTGAACATCCCAATCCCCACTAAAATAGGTTGGTGCACCAGGCCCCCAAAATGGGATCCCATTGGTTTTGACCCACCAGATCTCGTCCCAGTGGCTCTGCAGAGCCTTGTCCTCCAGCAGGTGCGCCAGCAAATTGCAGCCCGCAGAGTGCGGCGGCCCGGTGGCCACCTAATCGACTTCTCGACATCGAAATCGGCCCGGCCGAAGAATTTACGGAAGGCCCCAAATGGCGGTGGCTCACAAATGAAAAGCTAGGGCAAACCGCAGGTTTTCGTCTTTGTTTCCATTTACCAAGGTGCCATATTGGGTACATCTTGTTTTTGAGCCACAGCCAAATGGGAATTTCCGGTGATTTCAATTAGGGAACCTTTGGTGGACATCATTTAGGTGCGGAGATCAAAGAGTTTCCACGAAGATCTGGGTGGTTTAAAAGTTGCAATTTCTGAACTGCAGGCCTGGATCAAGCGATTGAAAAGATGGCTTTCGTGTCACCTCACATGTTGCTCATGAGCTTCATGCAAGACCCCTCAACTATCCTCAAGGGGTCCTTTTCAGCGGGACCCACCAGTAAATCTGCGGAAATCTGCGGAACTATGATTTAACAGGTGTCGACGAGATTGGTTACTTGGGGGACCCTTTCGCGGACCTTTTTGGAAAGACCATAAAAGGGATGCGAGAAAGGGCTTCTACCCATCTGGAACCTGGAAATACAAGGCGAACCCTTTGGGACCTTGACTAAGGCACGAGAACAAACTGAAACCCGAAAAATCCATCGATTTCTTCGACCCACCCGACCCAAAGAGGGCTACTCCCTGCAAAAGAAGAAGAAAAAACCGACGGCCCGCACCAGCGGGGAGCGGCGAAGCGGCGAAGCGAAGGGGGCGGCGAGGCGCGCCTTGTAGGCCTCGGTCCTGCCCAAGCCCAGCTTCAATGCCTGCAGGCGCTTCTCCCAGGGCTCCGCAGACACGTTCTGACACAGCCGCCTGATCTCGGAACACCCCGAGGTGTCGTCGTTGTTGTTTTGATTTTGTGTTTTTGTGTGTTTTTGCTTTTAAGCTTTTGAGTGTGTGTTTGTCCCTTTTTCTCCGAAGGATGGTGTTTGTGTTTTTGTGCCTTTGTGCTTTTATGCCTTTTGTTTCGCCTTTCCCTGCAGAAAGGTGGGTGCGTCCATGATTGTGCCCCCCAAATTTACCCTCCTCCAGACGATTCCGATTCCATGAAAGCTCGCCTTCCGGCGGTTCGTCTGAGGGAGTCTAGGGCCTTTTTGCTGGGAGCGCAAAAAAAGACACCTGGCACCCAATGGTTGGTGCCAGGTTTCTTCAGGACCTTTTGGGTGCGAAATTGGCCCCCTGGCGCTATATACCTGGCACCCGCCAGCACCCAGGGGTGTCCTTTGGCCACCTGTGAGAAGATGGGCGACCCCCTCAAAAAGGAATCCTTCACCACCAGGGGGTCGACCATTTTTCCACCACCGGCCATTCCAGACCCAGCGCCCGCCGGCCCGCCGGCCCTCGCCTCGCCGCCAGCAGCACGGGGGCGTACATGGGGGCCGTGGGGGGCAGCTCCGAAAGCTCCGTCAACAGGTCCGAAAGCTTGTTCCAGTGGCCCTCCTCCCTGGGGCGGTTTTTGTTGGCTTCTCTCTTTGGGTTTGCTGAGGGGAATCCTCTTTTTCTTGAGAGGTGCTCATTCCAAAATGGTGGGGTGGCCCTTCAAAACCACAAAAGAAGAGAGCCGGGTATCGGAAAAAAGATGGGAAAAGAAGTTGTGGCCGGACCCTGTGGACCACAAAACCTCCATCTTGATCTGGGGGGAATGTCCCAGGGGCAAACCGTTGCTTCTTGGCTGTAGACATGCATCTCAAAGGTTCGCATCCGCGTTTCGGGAGCCTCGCGAAACCAAAGGGAAGCACTCGGACAGTGGAGCAGAAAGTAGATGGCGCCTATCTATAAAATATGTCCGTTTGCTTAAGCCCCCTGGGAAAAATCGAAATATGTCCAGTAGTGATACATTCCCTTTAAAACCAACAGGGGGAAGCACCAAATATTCTTAGGCAAATGAAATGAAAAAAAAAGCTGGTCCCATCCCGGCCTTACCGACTGCCAGAGCTTCTGAGACTGCGCCCGATCCAAGTGCCGGTCCTCTCTGTCGCCCCTCTCCGTCTCCTAGGGTTGGAGACGAGTTCAGCCCAATGCCCCCCCTTTTGGACGGAAATTTAAAGGTTGAAACAATAGTGCCGTACACCAGGTCCGAAACCCGGTCGCCCAACCCTGGTTTCCCGACCTGAGGCGAACCCTGCGACGATGCTTTCTGCGGCTGGATATGATTGGTTCACTTGCACATGTTGGCATGCACCACGGACCCCTTTCTGCAACAACGAAGTGGGATTCTCATCCCGTGACTGGCTCATTTAAAGGGATATCCTTGCTATCAAAGACAGCGGAAAAAATGTGTTCTACAACAACGTACCTATCTGGTTTCCTTCTGTTAGCCTCGTTTGGGGGGTGTCACCTTGAACAGATCCAACCAGTGTGTGTGAGGAACAAACAGGTTGTACCCCGGTTTCCAACCAACCAACCAACCAACCAACCAACCAACCAACCAACCAACCAACCAACCAACCAACCAACCAACCAACCAACCAACCAACCAACCCACCCACCCAGCCACCCAGCCACCCAGCCACCCAGCCACCCAGCCACCCAGCCACCCAGCCACCCAGCCACCCAGCCACCCAGCCACCCAGCCACCCAGCCACCCAGCCACCCAACCACCCAGCCACCCAGCCACCCAGCCACCCACCCACCCAGCCACCCAGCCACCCACCCACCCACCCACCCACCCACCCACCCACCCACCCACCCACCCACCCACCCACCCACCCACCCACCCACCCACCCACCCACCCACCCACACCAACCAGACCCAAGAAATAGAAAAAGGGAAGAAAATAAGCACTTCATCCCCCTCCAACCCACACAAAAGAATATATCTTCCGCGCGTCCTTCGGCATGGCCTGCAAGCCCTCAAGGCCCTTGAGGATGGCAGCCACCAACTCGCCCCGCCACTTCACCTGTTCGCTCCGTTCGAAGCGTGCTTTGACCATGAGGGTGCCCGTCTTCTTGGCGGCTTTTAAGGAAAGCCAAGAGGAAACCACCTTGGCTTTTGGTTTGGGGAGGGTCCCCAAAAGAGATATACCCACCCCCGAAACCCAAAACCGCTGGCTCGCACTCGCCTCGCCTGCGCGTGGGCCCGCAGGAGGCCGGCCGCATCCGCCTCCGCCTCGATGACTCGGGCCACCGCCAGGTCCTCGCTGAGGCCGTGGCAGTAGGCCTCCGCGAAGGGCCTGCGGCGAATCGGCGGCGGCGGAAAGCGGCGGAGATCTCAGCGGCGGGGCGGAGAAGTCAACCCGGAAATGTTGGGGTTCCAAGATTTGGAGGGCTCCAAATGCCCAAGAAACCAAACCCCCCCAAGACCCGAGATGTGGGTTTGGCGTCAAAGATCCGGGACGTCTTTTGGGCGCGGTTGCACAACCGTGTGACTCTCCAACCCCTTTTTTAGTCAGCGATTCAATACCAAACAATAGACAATTCGGTGGGAAGTTGGATTCCCAAACTTGGTGTCGTTTTGGCTTCCAACAAGGGGGCCTCCCCCCCCCAAAAAAAAAAAGCGACAGACCCGCGCTGGCCTCTCCACCACCAGGTACCTCTCCAGGGCCTGCAGGGCGTGCTCCAACTTCTCCCCGAGCTGCTCCTGCGAGGTTCGGGCACCTTTCCAATTCACCATGTCTAGGTCCTCCAGTAGAGAGGGTAAGAAGGGCACTACTGGGGGACCTAGATGTGCTTTTTCAAGGACGCTTTTGCGAACCTCCGACCATGTCGGCCCTTTGAAGTACAGGGGCTAAAAAACTGGAAGGGGGGGGAGTTAGCCCAAACGTCCTGATCCTTGAGTAGCATAGTAGCCAAGGGCGCCACCCTGAACAAAGGCTAAAAATGAGGGAACCAAAAAACGAAAGATTGGGCGCGATTTTGAGGCACTTCTCTAAGCTGGTTTCACCCCCAAACCCGCCCAGTTTCCCTTGGGAACCGTTTCGTGGCGTCCCCAAGCGCTTCGCCAAGCGCTTCGGCTTCGCTCCTTGGAGCCCAGGATCTCCTGGGCCAAGGCTTCCGCGGAGCTCCGGGGCGCGAAGCCGTCCAGCGCCAGCAGCGCCCGGCCGCTGGCGCCCTCGGCCACCTGATGGGCGGATCGGGAGCGGCGGAGCGCACGCGCGAGGAGTGGCCGGGCGGCGCCGGCGCCCGACTTTTTTTTCGTCTTTTTTTCGAGGCGACGGAGGGAAGGGGGGGGACCTTCAAAATGGGGAAACCACCAGGAAACCCATGTCAGTTTGGAAAATTGTGAGAGTCATGAGTCATGAGTCACCACTGGCCCTTTGAGCCAAGTCCAGGTAAGCCATTGTAGCAGGTAGCCAGTGTAGACCTGAAGGAAAAGGTCTTGGTTACCTACCACGGCTCCCAACTACTCTCCCTCTTTGGCACTCCCCACCTGAGCAGCACCCAAAACCCCCCCGTCCCACTTTAGCAGGTTCTACTACATGGCTTCATATTGTGGCCAAGAACAACTTGCGAGTGTCAGAACCAAGTCAGCTTCAGTTTTGGGCACAGCGCTTCCTGTGTCTTTCTTTAGGGAGTGTTTTCAAGGCCCCCCCCCGGTCACCTCAACACTAAAAGAAAAGAAATGGCTTTCCGAGGTTCAAAGAAAACACTCGGTCGCTGTGAAGCGACCGCCGAGGAATTGGTCACTCAAAATGGACCCCAGATTGATAAACCCAACCAGTGTTTCTCAACGGGTTTCCCGTACAAACCCACATAGAACCTTTGGTGGACACAGGGACAAGCTGAAAAAACTGTGCAATAAAGCCGAATCCATGTTGGGCACTGAGGTTGACCGAGTAACATGAAATCTACCTGGGGGTGGTTTTGGGCACCTTCCTCGAAAAACATCCTGGCGATTTCCATGTTGAGTGGGATGGGCGAACCCGGGCTTAACAAACATCTGTGGCCAGCAACCGCCCAAGCCGTCAGCGTCTCTGAAAATCCGAGAAAACCAACAGCTGAATCAGCGCCTCCCCCTCATTCCGTGCTTGCTCGCCAAGCTCGCGCAAAGCTGTTCAATTCACTACTGTTCAACAGGTAGTACCCCGAATTGGGTATGTACCTACACTTCGAAAGTATAGTACCAGTCAAACACCTGCTCAAACAACCTCCTTTCGCTCCTCAGACAATCAAAACTGGTCTCTGGTCGTTTGAGCCAAAACCTGCAAGCAAGGCTCTGAAGCTTTCCCGGTGTTTATCCCCTCCGTTTGGGTTCCCGGCACCTTGGAGGCCGCGCCGCTGAGCCGGAAGTCCCCCTGGAACAGCTCCAGCTGTGGGGAGGACCCGGGGTCGTCCAGCTGCAGCCTTGAGGATCCGACGGATCCGAATTTGCAACACGAGGCGAAGACCCACGGGTTCGTAAGGCACACCGAGAAATAAAACAAACAAAAAAAGGAGGAACCAAAATGAAGGAAGCTCAGAAACAACCACGTGCAAAAGGGTCTATGTCCAAAAAAAGGCAAGAAAAACTAATCCCAAAAGACGACAGAGCCAGCTGCTGGCGGGTGGCTTCGCCAGCTGCTCCCCCGCCTGCACGATGGCCCCAGGACCCTTGAGATGGCTCACCTTGCCGCTGGCGCCAGCCTCGAGTCAGATCGGACCCCCGTGCCGCGGGGGAGCCGGGGCTGAACCAGGGCTGAAACAGCCTAGGCCCTCCAGTAGAGAGCTTAGAATAAGTTCGCACCCCATGTTTTCTGGCGTCTACTTTAGTAGAGAGCCCTCCCCAAAAAAAACGCGGTAAAAGGGGACTACTGGGGGACCTAGCAGCTATGTTTAAACCCCTCTGGCCCTTTTTGGGGGGGGATTCCTCCAAAAAATCGGGTACCAAGTATGGTGTTTTTCACAATCTCCGTTTGGTCTCCTTGCTCGCTTGGAACAACTATTGGGGTTCTTTTTTGAGAGGTACCTCTTTCTTAAACCTTTTTTGGAGGGGGTGTTCCTTAAAAATCTGGCAATACAAACAACCTCCTTTTGGCTCCGGAAAACAAGTTGCCCAATTCTGGCCAAAGGGCTAAAAATCCGCACATGGTGACAGGTGGCGATAACAGGAAACCAAAAGAACCACACTGTTTGGGGGGGGAACTCTTTTTTAAGACAGAACTCCCTTCATGGGTGTGTGTCAAAATAGGGAGTTGGTCTCAAAAGATGGGCTGGCCGCTTGATGTCCCGCCCAAAAACTAAAACTGAAAAAGGGGTACCCTCAAAAAACCACGCCTCCTTATGTGGGTGAGCAAAGGGAATGACTAAACCCAAAATGGATTGGAATTTGAGTTCGCCATCTACTGTCACGGAATAACGTCAGGGTTGGGCCCGCTGTTCCTCTCGGGTGTGGGATTGTGCAAATCAAACTCCAAAGGGTCTCCAAAGGCTTGGATCACTCTCATTCCCATCCCAAACCTTCAACAAGGGGGATGAGGCAAACCCGGAATTGCAGTTTCGCCCAGCTCAAGCTAAGTTGCGCTTCGACAGCCTGTGAAGTCCCTTTTGGAGCACAAAAAAAAAAACATCGTGCAGGATTCAGCATGCATCGCCCAAGCTCAACCTTGCCATACACGCCCTTTCGGGGCCTTGTGAGAAACCCCGGCTTGGGAGCGTTTGAAAACATACGAAATCCGCTTCGCACCTGGGATCGATGGATGAAACCTGACGTGAAGACTTGGACAAAGGGGCACCTCATGGCACAGGCTTTCAGAAGGTGCGCAAGCCTCGAAAAAAACGCACATCCCACAAGGGCTAGTTTGTCCTTCTTTTCGGATGCCATGTTTAAGAGACCCCCTTGGTACCAAAAGGCAGCCACTAAAATGGATGTGGCTCAAAAGTGGCAGCCCAAAATGGTGGTAAATGGAGAAGTGGACCAAAACCTGAGCCCTATCTCTTTCATTTTGAGCCACGCCCAAAAGGTGTGTCTTATGGAGCCCAAAAGGTCGGTTTTTACGCTTCCCCTTTCGATCCACCAAAAAATGGTTCCCTCCAAAAGCGGTACACACTAAAATATGCGTCCCCTATCTCTTTCATTTTGAGCCACGCCCAACAATACCTCAAGCCGATCAGCTGGCCTTCAGTGACATGACCATCTTCATCGCCTCCAGCTCCACATAGGCCTGGCCCTTGCTCACAGATCCGCCTTCCGGGATCAGGTAGCCTCATCCGAACCGACTCACTCGGCTGGGAATTGACCCGGTCGGTCCGGAGGTGTTTAGGGCTGGCCCCACAAGAACCGGAGGTTCGGGGGTTCAAATCCCTAAACCAATCCTGGTCTGGGGACCTGGTGCGATTACGTTGGTCACTGCAAGACCTTTTGTGTTTGCTTTTTGTTTTTGTTGTTTTTTCTCAAACATGAAAACATTGTCCACCATGGTTGCGGAAGTAGCCCATGCCTGAGACACCACAGTGGCCTCTACTGATGAGACATGCGATCACAATTCTGTTTGTGCTCTCGGCATGTTAACATTTGTGCGGTGTCATTCCCGGAAGGGTGGTAGGCTAGCAATACAAGAGTTCGCGCCATCCAGACAATGCTCTCCGGATTGTCATGCGCGCCACAAAAACACCATCCATTTTGGTGCGGGGGTCTCGTTGCGGTGCAAGTCACGAATGACCTTGCCGTTGAAGTCCGAACGCAGCTCGGAAGGGTCGAAGATGGTCGGAAGAAGAACCTCCAGTCGTGCCAAAAGCTGATTCTTCAGGATTCCCAGCTTCAGATTGCGCTCCCCCCATCTACCAGCTTGTGGCTGTGAGCTAAACTCGCCCCATGGCAGTGACTGCCGCCGCTTGCCCGGGGCAAACAAAAAGCCGCAGCATGCGGAAAAAAACATGTAGCTCTCCAAAATGACCGAGTGGTTCACCCTGAAACAAGTGAATCAACAGGTTGCATCATGGCAAGCTTGCAGTTTTTGAGGCTATGACCACAAATGGGTCGGGGTTGGTGTTCCCAAAATATTTGTTCCAGGGGGATTCGTGTTGGACAAGTGATGTTTAGGGCAGTGCTGTCTTGTCTGACCCGATGCAAAACAATTGCCGGCCCAAGATGCAATACGTGCGGCGGAAACGAATGCCCATGTCCAAAAACAAACGTCACCAAAAGAGGACTGAACGCCGTAAATGGAGTGTAAAAGTTTCAAAAGAATGCCAAAGGTAGATCGAGGAAGAATTTTGAAGAGTCTCGTTGGCTGAAATGCCATGCCACCTAAATAGGGGGGCTGTCCAGAAATAGGAATCGAGTCCTAAGAATTGTGTCATGTTCCTCTTCGTGTTCAACTTCAAAGGGGAGGATCCCTGTATCGGTAAGATCTTCAGCTCTTTGCCTCCCCTTTAAGGTTTGCTACTTCCAACCACCCTAAACCTGGCAGCCCACCAGGATGAACCCCCCTTGCAAAGGCGCCTTTTGCCCTTTTTTGGCCGTACCACCCACCTGAGTCGTAATCCAGACCCGATATGAAAATGGTCGACCCTGAACCATGTAAAGAACCGCCAATCTCCCGACTCGACTTTGAGCACGTGGCTCGCCTGAGCTTCCCGCCCTTTTGCATCTTTGGAAAAAACCGACTAACCACCACCCACCGCACCACCCAACCCACTCCACCCCGCCTCACCCACCCACCCCGCCCCACCCACCCACCCACCCACCCCACCCACCGCACCTCCCAAACCCACCCACCCCGCCCCACCCAAGCGACACGTCACTCGACTCGTCACTCCAAAGCCCAGGCGCGGTGCCCACGCCCTGCAGGCGCAGGCGCAGGCCCAGGGCCTCCTCGGTTCCCGAGACCTTCATCACGCGCCCATCCTCACCGCGAGTCCGTGTCCGGTGGCGTCCGGTGGCGTCCGGTTGCGTCCGGTGGCGGCGGGGGGGGGGAGGTCCATACCAAAAAAAGACGAACTGCTTGCAGTCGGGGATGCCTGGGTTTGGGGATATGTTGTTTGGGCCAGAAGGAAACCATGGCCATTTTGGGGGTCCCATAGCATATTTTGAGCCAAACCCAGAATTTGTCCGGTTTGGGACTGATCGGATTGCCTCACGTGAAACCACTAGTCGGATGCTTGGGTCAAGTCATCGAGGCTGGAAGCTCCAGGCGCTGGGACGCGGCTCTCTCGGGGAACGCGGTGAACCGCTGAACCTGTTAGAATAAGGAGAGGTGCGCTACCCCAAATAAAGGCGTCCCCAAACTTGTCATGGTCCCCACGAATTTTGGATATACCGACCCTTCCCCCCCCCCCCCAATCTTTTCGTGCCTTTTTAAAACCAGCGAGGGTGCCGGAGCATCAAGCCGACCCGCCTTGGAAACGAAAGCCGCCCGCGCCAAAGGGCGTCCCTTCTTTTTTTGGGGGCCCTGAACCTCTGAAAAAGGAACCTGGTTTTTGCGGTGCCGAGCTTTTCGTTGACATTGGTCTCTCGGAAGTCTTACTGAAAAGTGGCTTCTGCTGGGCTTCGAAAGGGGGTCTGTGCACTTCCACGTTGGGAGGGTTTTTGGAGCGCTGTGTTTCAGCTGGTGACCTGGGCACCTCAGAACCACAACCCTTCAACAAAAACGGAGTACCTTCAAAACCTTTTTGCGAAATGAAATCCTGCCGCTTTGAGGGGTCAAAAAAAGAAACGCCAGGTGCCTTTGCCTTTGCCAGGCGTCCAAAGACACCAGCAGCGAGCCATCCGGCTGCACTCGCACCTGGCACCAAGATGGCCCCTTTGCGACACTGGTGCCCGAGTGCCGCCTTTTACAGGAAGGATACCAAAAGGACCCCCCCCCCAATGCACTTAATTCACAAATAGGGAAGTGGAGGAGCAACAGATTTGAGAGGCTCCGGACTACTTGTTTGAAGGAAGACCTGATCTGCAATTTTCACCAGAATTCCCAATTGGAACCCCTAGCAAGGGACCTCCATGGGTGCAAATCGCTCGGATCGTTCCTCATTTGCCGAGAGGGGGATGATGCGGTTCCATTGCAGCGGTTGAATGGTTCACCCCCATCTTGCCCATGGATGCACACTTGTTTCTGCGGATCCGCCAAGCCGGAAGGTCATTCTCACCAAGCAAAGAAGCTGGAAATTGGCCACGGGCAACTGTTTCAGGGGATGTGTGTACCCACCCCAAAAAAAGTTACACCAGCATAGACCCCAGATAGCAAAAAGCATGCCAACGCTTGCACACCAGCACCTCTAACAGCACCCCGAACAGCAAACAACACCCCAAACAGCATCCCAAAAATAGCACCTGCGCCAGCCCCCAAACTGCATGACCCCGAGCACCTTGCCATCAATCGCGCACAAACGCGCCCGCACCCGTCGCCCGCAAAACAGAACCCGCACCCCAAACTGCATGCCCCCAGCATCCTGCCATCTTGCAAAAGTGTGCCCGCGCTATCAGCCCCAAACAGCACGCCCAGAGCACCCGGCCCGCATCATCACCAACACTTCAAACACCCCAAACAGCACCCACCGGCACCCCAGGCTGCGCGGCCCCTTGCACCCAGCCGCCAATCTCGCAGATCAGGTTCCCCTCTTTCTTTTCAGAATCTTAGAAGCTAGAACCCCTATAGCTTTCAGCTATTCTTTGGGGGAAAAACACAAAAAGAGCAAACCCTCCCCAAAACGCCAAGCACTTTCATCTTTCATCCCACCCCCGCCTGCACCAGGAACTTCTTCCCCGCCACGGCCAGCTCGTAGCCGTCGGGGGCGATCCGCTTCACCGCGAAGCGGAACTTGTGGCCCTCGAAGCAGATCTCCAGTTCCAATTCGCAGGCGCCCTCCACCTACGTGGCCCCAAGAGAAATACGGGGCCCGTCTTCTCTTCGCCAAAAATCGGGGTCCTCTTGGGGCTCCCTAACCACACCCAAGTAGCTTGCTCTTGCATATCGATATGGTGATTGCATGCTCAACCGTCCCGGACGAGTGCGTGTTGTTTCTGCGCGTAGGCCTGACTGCAAGAGTCACAGCTCAAACTTCTCGCCCTGGCTACCACGCCGCTTCGTTATGTGTATTCGACGGGGTAGTCCTTTCTACACCCAACAGGTTTGGAAAGTCGTACGGCCAAAAACCAGCAAATGGGCCCGGAAAAGGGACCCTTTCGTCCTTGCCAGCCGGGCTTTGAAGATGTCATTGGGGGAATCTCATTTTGGGGACGTCCTGATGTACTGCCAGGAAGTCATTTTGGTTCTAGGCCGAAACTGAGGATGGGGCTATCCCCGCGACATCCTGGGCATGGCTTTCATGGCCTATGAATGCTGCGCCAATACTTTTTCTTGATCCCTCTGGTAACTTCTGGGCTGATCCTGGGCGCATTGGCCCAAGCTCCCACAGCCCTGGAAGAAGGTCAGGCACATGCCCGGCCTGGTGCAGCAAGCCCAAGCGCCTCTTGTTGATGGCCTCCAAGAAGTCTTTATTCCGCGCCTCCGGCAACAGGGATGGTGGATAGATAGACTTGGGTCTGCGTTTCTATGAGGGTAGCCGTTTTGGGGTTGGTTTCAGGGGAAACCAAAAGTAAACCACCCATTTTGCGGGTCCTCATTTAGAGGACTCTACGTTTTTGAGGGCACCCCTTTTGGGGTTTGCAAAAGGGGAAACCAAAGAGGGCCCCCTAGTTTAACACAAACCCATATAGGGGTCTCTCTCTTTCGTGTGGGGTGGTTTGGCAAGGGCTCCTGCGATTGCGCAGCCTGCTTGGTGGTTTCACTGTTAACTTCAACAAGAGGGGTTCAAACCCCCAAACCACCGATCTGCAATTTTTACGACGCCAAGCGCCGGGTGAAATCGTTCGTACAGCTGAAGAGCTCGAAACCCATAAAAAATAGGCAGACCAATCCAAGCCACCAGAAAGTAACTAGTTGGCCCCCAAAAAAAGGGGGTGCTCCCAACACATATCTTGTCCGACTCTGCGAGTGCATCTGCCTGGGAACCCTCTGGCTAACCCAAAAAGAGACCTCAAGCGCCAACCCCGAGGTGGTTCCAACTCCTGAAACTCAGAGCAAAAACTGCCCAAGCTAAACACAAAGGAGTTGATCCATTTCAAGTTTCTCTGGACTTGATCCATTTCAAGTTGACCCAACCCCAGACGCGCCCTCATGCCCAAGCCGCTCGCCTCGAAGGTGCGCACCGCCCGGAGCACCGCGGCAAAGAAGACCACGTCCAGCTTCCTGAGCCCGTGGCGTCGCTTCCAACGCGTCTTGCCGTCCAGTGGCAAAACCGGAGAAATGGCAACTTGCACTTTTTGGGGAAACCCCCTAAAAAGCTCCGCTTTGGGGGGGAAAACCCTAAAACCGGAGGAAAGGCAGCTTGCACTTTTTGGGGGAAACCCCCGAAAAGGTTTTCCTTTTGGCGTGGCCTGAACGGAAACCACTCGTGAGTGGCGAGAAAGAAGTCGGTGATGTGTTTTATCGCATCTCATCACTTCACCTTGTTCCATCCCACCTCATAACTGTTTCGCCAACTGAGCATCATGCCATGTGCCTTAAAATTGGGACTCCCCAAAAAAATTACATCTTCCTTCGAAATATCGCACCTAGGCAACCCACCAAGCTCCACCAAAAAGACACACCTATCTCTTTTTACCCATCCACTAACATGGAACCTGACTGAAGGGTCCTGGAAGACTAGTGTCCTTACAAAAGGCACCCTTTGGTGGGTTCCACGCTTGTTGGTGGGAGGGTACCCCCCCCTTTTTGGGGCAGCGTCTAAAGGCAAACCAACAGGAAACCTCCTTCACGGGAGCTCGCTCGGCTGAGACGCTCGTACTTCACCTTCACGGCCCGCTCTCGGATCAGACCATCCAACCAGGAGGTGTCGATGGTATTCTCCGAGAACGCCTCAGCGAGGCAAAAAGCGTGGCTATAGGGGCGTATCTTTTCAGGGGACCCCAAAAACTGGTATTGGTTTCCTCTTGGCTGCAATTTAAAACCAACAAAAAGAGGTAACCCTCAAAAAAGACACATCCATGCGGTGGCTGTATGTCCGTTGAATCCGTGGGATGGTGGTTTGGGATGTGCGATGTGCATGTTCAAACTCCTGCAGTTCTGGGGCATGATCGCGAGTGGTGACTATGCTACTTGGATGTTTGTTGCCAAGTTAGTAGGCGGTCCACTTGGCTTTGCTCAGCCCCTAATAACAACGGTTAACCCCCCGGACCGGGGACTTATCAGTGGCTAGCCTAGGTGACCGTTACAACGGTACTGAGTTCGTAACGAAGACCCAAGTACCAACTCCAGTCTGTGGTTGCCACGGGTCCCTTAAAGAGCCAGGTTGGCCATCCGCAAGTAAACAGGTCTTGAGAGGCACACGGCAGGAAAGCTCAGCGGAATTGGCGGACCCCGTGGAATCTGTGAAGATGTTGGCGTTGAAACTTCGTCGGATTCCAACCTCCAGTCTCCTCGCTTCCACAAGCCCTGAAATGATAGAAATGGGGTCGTACACTTTACCAATTCTGTCCGCATAAAATAAACCGGGGGGAAAAAAGAACCTTGGGCCCAAATGCGAGAGGACCCGGACAAACCCAGCATCCAGTTGCAGCCTTATTTGGGCGAGCAAAAGATCGAAATACGTGACCGGCTCAGCTTGAATCGACTCTACCGGCCAGCCTTGGTGCCCAAGAGCTCCACCAGGTAGTCGATGGGGTTCCGGATCTCCCCAACCACCTCCAGGTTTTTCAGCGCCAGCACCTGACGCCATCAAAAGACCGCAGAGTGGAAGATCCAGAGGTACAAGTCTCTGTGGCGTGCTCGGCGCGGTGCAGTGTCGTGCGGCACGGTGCGGCGGCGGTGCGGGAAGACACAAAGACGCACAGACGCAAAGACAAAGTCTCAAAGGCAGAAAGAGGCCAAGACACAAAGACACAAATAGACACAACGAGACAAAGACACAAAGACACAAGGAAAAGTAGACACAAAGACACAAAGACACGAAGACACAAAGACACAAAGACACAAAGACACAAAGACACAAAGACACACACACACACAACCACACACACACACACACAAACCCACGCACGCACGCACGCACGCACGCACGCACGCACGCACGCACCCACGCACACACACACACACACACACACCCACGCACGCACGCACGCACACACACACACACACTACATGCACACACTCACACACACAAACGCACAGCCACACAGCTACACAACCACGCACACACACACACGCTACATGCATACACAACGACGCAAACGCACAAACACAACCACACAACCACACAAGCACAAAAGCACACTTGGACACACACACACACACAGACGGTCACAAGCACGCAGGCACAACTCGTCCCGGGACGGCACCGCATCGCACCGCGCCGCAATGTGTCTTTGTGGCTTTGCGCCTTTGTGTCTTTGTGTCTTTGCGTCTTTGCGCCTTTGCGTCTTGGTGCCCTTGTGTCTTTGTGTCTTTGATGTCGTTGTGTCTTTGCTCTTTGTGTCTCTGTGTCTTGGTCTCCTTCTGTCTTTGTGTCTTTGTGTCCTTGTGTCATTGCGTCTTTGTGTCTTTGTGTCCTTGCGCCTTTGTGTCTTTGTGTCTTTGTGTCCTTGCGCCTTTGTGTCGTTGTGTCCTTGTGTCTTTGTTTCCTTGCACCTTTGTGTCTTTGTGCCTTCGCGCTGTTGTGTCTTTCTATCTTTGTGTCGTTGTGTCTTTGTGTCTTTGTTTCTTTGCACCTTTTTGTCTTTGTGTCTTCGTGTCTTTGTGTCTTTGTGTCTGTGTATCGTTGTGTCTTTGTGTCTTTGTGCTTTTGCGTCTTCGTGTCTTTGCGTCTTTGTGTCTGTGTGTCTTTGTCTCGTTGTGTCTAATTGTGTCTTTGTGTCTTGGTCTCTTTCTGTCTTTGTGTCTTTGTGTCTTTGTGACTTTGCGTCTTTGTGTCTTGGTGTCTTGGTGTTCTGGTGTCTTTGTGTCTTTGTGTCTTGGTGTCCTTGTGTCTTTGTGTCTTTGTTGTCTTTGTGCCGTTGTGTCTTTGCTCTTTGTGTCTTTGTTTTTTTGTGTCGTGGTCTCGTTGTATCTTTGTGTGTTGTGTGCTGGTGTCTTTGTGTCTGTGTGAGTGTGTTGTGTGTGTGTCTGTGTGCGTTTGTGTTGTGTGTATGCGCCTTTCTGTTGCGTGTGCGTGTGCGTGTGCGTTTGTGTTGTGTGTATGCGCCTTTGTGTTGCGTGTGCCTGTGCGTGCACGTGTGCGTGCGCGTGTGCGTGTGCGTGCGCGTGCGCGTGCGCGTGCGCGTGCGCGTGCGCATGCGCGTTCGCGTGCGCGTAGCGTGCGCGAGCGCACGTGTGTGTGTGTGTGTGTGTGTGTGTGTGTGTGTGTGTGTGTGTGTGTGTGTGTGTGTGTGTGTGTGTGTGTGTGTGTGTGTGTGTGTGTGTGTGTGTGTGTGTGTGTGTGTGTGTGTGTGTGTGTGTGTGTGTGTGTGTGTGTGTGTGTGTGTGTGTGTGTGTGTGTGTGTGTGTGTGTGTGTGTGTGTGTGTGTGTTGTGTGTGTGTGTGTGTGTGTGTGTGTGTGTGTGTGTGTGTGTGTGTGTGTGTGTGTGTGTGTGTGTGTGTGTGTGTGTGTGTGTGTGTGTGTGTGTGTGTGTGTGTTGGTGTGTGTGGTGTGTGTGTGTGTGTGTGTGTGTGTGTGTGTGTGTGTGTGTGTATGTGTGGTGTGTGTGTGTGTGCGTGTGTGTGCGTGTGCGTGCGCGTGTGCGTGTGCGTGTGCGTGTGTGTGTGCGTGCGCGTATGCGTGCGTGTGTGCTTGCGTGTGCGCGTGCGTGGCGTGCGCGTGTGCGTGTGCGTTCACTGTGCGCGCGTGCGTGCGTGCGTGCATGTGTGGAGTGTGGGTCGTGTGTTTGTTTGTGTGTTGTGTGTGTGTGTTGTGTGTTGTGTATTTGTGTGTTTGTGTGTTTGTGTGTTTGTGTGTTTGTGTGCTTCTGTTTGTGTGTTGTATGTTGTATGTGTGTTTTATCTTTGTGTGTTGTTGTTTGTGTGTTTGTATGTTTGTGTGTGTGCATGTGTGTTTTGTGTGCGCGTGTGTGTGTGTGTGTGTGTGTGTGTGCGCGTGTGTGCGTGTGTGCGTGTGTGCGTGTGTGCGTGTGTGCGTGTGTGCGTGTGTGCGTGTGTGTGCGTGTGTGCGTGTGTGCGTGTGCGTGTGTGTGCGTGTGTGCGAGTGCGTGTGCGCGTGTGCGCGTGTGCGCGTGTGCGCGTGTGCGCGTGTGCGCGTGTGCGCGTGTGCGCGTGTGCGCGTGTGCGCGTGCGCGTGCGCGTGTGCGCGTGCGCGTGCGCGTGCGCGTGCGCGTGCGCGTGTGCGTTTGCGTGTGCGTGTGCGTGCGCGTGGGGTTGTGGGGTGTGGGGTTGTGGGGTTGTGGGGTTGTGGGGTTGTGTGGTTGTGTGGTTGTGTGGGTGTGTGGTTGTGTGGTTGTGTGGTTGTGTGGCTGTGTGGCTGTGTGGCTGTGTGGCTGTGTGTGCTGTGTGGCTGTGTGGCTGTGTGGCTGTGTGGCTGTGTGGCTGTGTGGCTGTGTGGCTGTGTGGCTGTGTGGCTGTGTGGCTGTGTGGTTGTGTGGTTGTGTGGTTGTGTGGTTGTGTGGTTGTGTGGTTGTGTGGTTGTGTGGTTGTGTGGTTGTGTGGTTGTGTGGTTGTGTGGTTGTGTGGTTGTGTGGTTGTGTGGTTGTGTGGTTGTGTGGTTGTGTGGTTGTGTGGTTGTGTGGGTTGTGTGGTTGTGTGGTTGTGTGGTTGTGTGGTTGTGTGGTTGTGTGGTTGTGTGGTTGTGTGGTTGTGTGGTTGTGTGGTTGTGTGGTTGTGTGGTTGTGTGGTTGTGTGGTTGTGTGGTTGTGTGGTTGTGTGGTTGTGTGGTTGTGTGGTTGTGTGGTTGTGTGGTTGTGTGGTTGTGTGGTTGTGTGGTTGTGTGGTTGTGTGGTTGTGTGGTTGTGTGGTTGTGTGGTTGTGTGGTTGTGTGGTTGTGTGGTTGTGTGGTTGTGTGGTTGTGTGTGTTTGTGTGGTTGTGTGGTTGTGTGGTTGTGTGGTTGTGTGGTTGTGTGGTTGTGTGGTTGTGTGGTTGTGTGGTTGTGTGGTTGTGTGGTTGTGTGGTTGTGTGGTTGTGTGGTTGTGTGTGTTGTGTGGTTGTGTGGTTGTGTGGTTGTGTGGTTGTGTGGTTGTGTGGTTGTGTGGTTGTGTGGTTGTGTGGTGTGTGGTTGTGTGTGTGTGTGTGTGTGTGTGTGTGTGTGTGTGTGTGTGTGTGTGTGTGTGTGTGTGTGTGTGTGTGTGTGTGTGTGTGTGTGTGTGTGTGTGTGTGTGTGTGTGTGTGTGTGTGTGTGTGTGTGTGTGTGTGTGTGTGTGTGTGTGTGTGTGTGTGTGTGTGTGTGTGTGTGTGTGTGTGTGTGTGTGTGTGTGTGTGTGTGTGTGTGTGTGTGTGGGCGCGTGCGCGTGCGCGTGCGCGTGCGCGTGCGCGTGCGCGTGCGCGTGCGCGTGCGCGTGCGCGTGTGCGTGTGCGTGTGTGTGTGAATAGGAAAGCCAAACGAAAAACCGCAAACTTTAGGGTCCACCTCATTTTCGCACACCCACTTGTTGATTTGCGGGCAACTTAAGCCCAGGGCTTAAGCGCCGACTCGGACAAAGGTGGAGGGCGGCCCACTTTCCAGGGAGTTCGCTATGGCTGCGAGCCTTGCCAGCAAACACGCGAGAAGTACAGCTGATCCTATTATCAGTCACTCGTCAGCAAGAACTTGGGTCGCTCCCACAGGTCATCAGTACCGAGAGATGCAGTGATAGTGGGATGCTGAATCGCAGTGCTCCAATGCCAGGCCATGTGTCAAGTCCTCCCCTCTGGGTTTGGACTTTTCGTGGTCAACATTTCGAGTATGTGTCAAAATGGGGGGAAAACAGGAAAAAGAAAAAAACAAAGCAAAAAACGCAAAACGGCAGGTGTTCCTTTTGGCTTCCCTTTAACCCCCACCTTCCACAGGTGGTCACCCGTGCCTCCCGGTCCCCGTCTGAGATCTGAGGCCGCCGCCAGGGTCTTCCGCGCTTCCTCCCGGTCCCCGCCCCGCGCGAAGAGGTGCCCGAACTGCGAGTCCGCGAACTCGTGGATGGCCGCGTGGGTCCACACCTCAAGCCCAGCGGAAAGCGGAACCAGCGGAACCGGTGGAAACCTCTTTGAAGCTTCGAGCTGACCATTTTTAGTGGAAAGAAAGAGAGTTGGAATTGTTTTGCCTTTTTGGGTTGCCTTGTTTTCCCTTTCAACCAGCGAAAAGTCAGCTTTTGCAGGGGATCTAAGTCTGTCCCTTGGTTGGTGGAGTCCCCGGAAACAATGGGCAACTTTTGCTCTTTCAGAGTAGCCCAGAGATACCCGTTTCTTCTTCTGTTGTCCTCCGTCTTTGGAGGTTTGGAGAACCAAAGAAACTTTTTTTGGGGCTGACCATGTTTTGGCTTCGAGTGCCAAAGCAAAAACAGGAAGAGGGCAGAATTCACTGAACCACTGGGATACACCCTTTCCAACAATCATGGAAGTGGACGGCGGAAGTTCGCCAAAAGGAAATCGTTCGTCTTCCAAAACCCAAGTCCTGGAAATCACGATTGAGGCTAGGAGGCAGCCCAGAGGCCAAGAACTGAGTGGAGCTAAATGTCAGGCATCTTTGGTCGATTCCCCTCAACGTACTTGGGGGAGAACTCGCACAATGACAGTCAGGCCAGAACCTCAACTGACCTGTGATGATCCATTTTGGGATACTGAAACAATTCAGGGACCCCTGTAGATATTAAAGTAGGCGATTTCTCCATAAGGGTGTTCCCTCGTTTGTCTCAACCAACACAGTTTCACAGATGATGGTCAAAGAAAAGACTTCACCCGAGTATCCCCGACATGTCCCATGCCCTGACTCTAGGAACCTGCCCCAGGACAAAAGCTGGGCCAAACGGCAAATATGGGTGTGTCTTTGGTAAAAGTAAACCTTTTTGGTAGGTCCTAAAAGGAACCAACAGGAAAACCACCCTCTTTTTTGTTGGTAGGCGGGGTCCACTAAAGAAGACACACGTTGTTTTGGCAAACGCGGTTCTGCGAGCTAAGCACACACACACAAACCCTTTTGCTTGGACTTGTGCCCAAGGAAAAGTGGGTAAATGGGCGAGAGAGCGATCCACTAGAGGGGGTTGTGTGCAACCTTTGTCCCGGGCCTCTTTCCGTGGCTTGGCTGGCTTTCACGGAGCGAGACCTGATGATTTTGCCACAAACCAAGGAGCAGAAGGGTCCAGTCGCCCACATTTTCAGGGGCGATCGGGTTTCTTCGCGTTCCTAGCTCCGTGTACACCCAGAATGGCCAAGAGAGCCCCACAAGCCGAGGGGCGGAGAAGTAGCCCCAGCAGGCCACGGAGCTCTGGAACTTGATGCGCTCGATCTTGCCTTAGCTGTGTCTTGGACCTCCAGGGCCCCAGCCCCCCCCCCCCCAAATCAGCGGAAAAAGCAGGGGGGATCTGGGGCTCCCAAAGTTCTCCGTTTAGCAACTTCCGCTAAAGCCCAACAAAAAGCGGTCGGGGATCCTTTAAAAAAAAAAAGAACGTTTCGAGCCACCCAGACGTTTTGTGGTGCTTCGTGGGGGAAAGGTTGGGCCTCTCAGGACTCTTAGCAGTTAGCACTTCTTCTCTCGCCGAGTGGCCGCTGGTGGGCTTGAAGCTATCGTCCGGGTTCTCCGCCGTGATCCGGGCCGCCATGCAGTGCACCTGACTCTGAAATTGGGTGTTGGGAAAATGCCGGAAGAAGACAAAAACAAATGTGGGTCTCTCTTTTCTTGGGGGGACTTTGCAAAGGGGTGTTTGGGTCTCTCTCTCTCTCTCTCTCTCGCTCTCTCTCTTTTTAGGGGACTTTGCAAAGTGGTGGTGTTCTTTTTAGACATGTCCGCGTTCGCTTCAGCCGGGCGCGGGCATTGGAATCAAGCGTGAAGGTGGTGTTCCTTTTAGTTTCCCTCTAAAACCATTCACAAAGGGTACCAAAAAAAGAACAACAAACCCAATCGGGTTCCTACACATCCAACATGTCCCGTTTAAGCATCACCCCACCAAAAGGAAACTCAGTTAAAATTGCCTCAAGGGACCATGACTCCCGATGAATCTCACCGGACATGCCTGGCGTCAGCACTGGCATGGACATAGCCCGAAGCCTAAAGCCACGAACAAAACTACAGTTCAGAAAGCGGGACTGTTTCAGAGCTGTCGGTTTTCCTCTTGTTTCCCCTTTCAAGGCCGCAAGAATCAGAATGAGGTTGTTGCCTACCCCGAAGCTGACACAACACACAACAGCGAATCCCCCCAAACCCAGCAAGGCCTTTGGGTACACATAGTCATCCTTCATGAAGTCAATGCTCGAGGTGGTGTCTGCGCTGGCCCGACCTGGTGCGCTGGAGCTACCAGAAGCGCTTGAGCTACCAGCGCCTGGTCCACTTCAAAAGAAAACCCAACAAACACGGACCACATCCTGCGCCAGTTGAGACAGATGAAACCAAACAAATACGGGGAAGAAACCATACACCAACTGGTGCGAAGCGCATTTCGTCCATCCGTGGCTTGATCATGTTTAGAGAGGATGGCCCAACCCTGGTTGCCACCCTCAAGTCGTTTGCAAAGGAACCACAAAAGAACCGACCCCATTCTGGGAGCTGAGGAAACTCAATGGAAGTGGATCCCATCAGGTTGCCGCCAGCTTCAACCCAAATAGGCCGAGAGGGGGGAGGGGGGAGCAAACTCCATTTGATGGGTGACGGTCACTCTCTTCAACTTCTTTTTTCAACAACCCGCAAAAACGGGAGCGCAATCCCCAAAGTGTGTGAATTGGGGTGCACGCCTTCTTGGTGCTTGAACCCTTCGCAGAACTCTGCGAAGACGACTTTGAATAGCTCCGCTGCAGGTTTCCGTGCAATGCCGCCAACCAAACAAAAATTAGCGACATCTCCTTTTTGGGGAAGAGCTCCTGCTTGGAAACCAAGTGATTTTGCGAAGTATCCCCCCCCCCCGCCCGGAAGGGGGGCAGGGTGCCGGGCCTTTACATGGACATCGCAACCCTCCGGTGCTGCAATGGAGCCATCGTGGTTTTGTTGCTCTTGGGGGGGCAACACGGCGGCTTTTCCTCAAACGGACGTCCTCAAGATGGCTGAATGATGGCTTTAAGTTGCACCAAAACTGGTCCCATGTCACCATTGTCGCTAACCCCCAAGTGGTAGGTTAAAGGAAAACAAACAACCAATTGACTTTGACAACCCGATTTTCACCCCCGGGGTAAGTCCAAAGTAAGAAACCAACCACCCAACTTCAATCCCTCCCATTCGCTTTTTGCCCCCCCCCCCCCAAAAAAAAAAAAAAAAGCGAACCGCGCACCGCGAGCCGCGAACCCGAACCGGCGCCCGACTCCTCGGGCCGAGGCGCCGTAGAAGGCGCGGACCTGGGGCATGCGCTGCAGGGGGACGCCCATCGCCACCTGAAGCTGCGTCGCCGGCAGGTTCCTCGCAGCGCGGAGCGCGGATCGACATCGGGCGACGAAGCGCGCGCAAGCGCAAGCGCGCGCAAGCGCGCACCTGCGGGGTGGCGCTGATTGTCGTTGTTGATTTTTTTCCTTCGGGGGGGGGGGGGGGGGTGGACGAATCTTTCTGCCAAGCAACAAAGCCAAACAGACCAGACCTGACCATCAACTTTGACTGGGAAAACAAAACTGAAAACAAAATATTTGCTCGTTACAGAGTGTACTAGACATCCTCCCATCTACCAACCTACCAACCGACCGACCGCTGAACGACCGACCGGCTGGCCAACAAGTTGAGTTGAACAATGGAAACGCGCCTGTTTGGGTACTGCCAGCCACTTTGGGGAGCATTCATTCTCAACAAAATTTGCCCAAGCCTACTGCGTTCAGTTTAGTAAGACATCCTCCAAATGACCTATATTTAATGGGAAACCACGGAGACCTATAAATGCATTCAAATGCGAAAATCCTGAAACATGCCAGCACCTTAAGGGACCCAGTACGGGTTTACCATGCTTCTGCGAGGACGCGTAAAAAAAGAGGCCTCATCCTATTACAAAAAGGTTTTCGTAACTCTGGGTTTAGGGTTTCTGGAAGGATTCTGGAAGGGCTTTAATAAAACTTCACCCAGCATTTTCGCGGAGGGTTCCCTACCCTCGGACCCAGAGACGTGCCCCGAATCGAATCCCCCTCCCCCCTCGGCCCATCCGAGGCGCACCCCGGTGATGGCCTCCGTCACGGGATGCTCCACCTGCAGCCTGGGGTTCAGCTCCAGGAAGAAGAACTTCCCCGTCTGCGCGTTGAAGAGGTACTCGATGGTCCCCGCGCCTGGGCTTGCCATCGGCCATCCAGGAGCCGGAGGGAGGCCGTCGGCCAGGAATTGGTGGTTCGTGCTTGTGCCTATGGGCGCCTTTTGGTTGGCCCAAGCAAAAAACGAAGACTGGCGCCTTTTGTAGTACCCTTTTGCTTGGCGGTGCCGCCGGGCCATCCAGAAAATCCTCGTCAGAGGTTTGTGCATGGTTAGGCCTGCAAAACCTGAGCCTTTTGAGGTGCCTGCCCGCTTGGTCTGTGCGCTCGTTGCGGGGTGAGCGAAGCGTCGGGGAGAAGGGGCGGAAAGCGGGACGCTGGGAATGTGGAAGGTGCAGAGCCCAGACCGTTGCCTCGGTACCCTTTCAAGTGCACTCGTCCGCATCAACCGAAGGTGCAGTGTACTTTTCCCCAGACTATCGCTCGCGTAAGAGATGCCAGGAAAAAGGGAAGCTTAGCAGTTTGCAAACAGCCATTGTGCAGTTCGGATATGCGTTTGCAGAGTCTCGTCTGGTCAAGTACCCGACCAGTTGGCCAAACTATAAATAACCACAGTGGGTCTACAGGCCATTTGCGAGGTTGAATTGCTTGCAGTGGTTGCCCTGCGGGAAATCCTTGGTGAGCACTTGCGAAACCGTAGGGTTATCTACTGGGTGGATCATGAGAGCGCAAGGTTTGGTCTTATCAAGGGGATCTCCAGGAGTGAGGCGATGCAAAGCCTTAAAGGTTCCGTGCTTCCAGAGGTTTGAACGAAGATAGTGGCGAGGTGGCTGTATTGTCGTTGGATATATAGCGGGTTGGTCTTGGCGCCGACGCCAAGAAGCCTCGAACCTCACAGGAACCGCTCAACCTCACAATCTCAGGCAAGGAACAGGACCCCTGCGGATGCTTAAGGAGCCCTTAAAACACACTCCGAACCTCAGGTGCTAACCCTGAGAACCACGAAGACGCCCTCCAACAGCCATTGGGGTGGAGTTCAGAGGGCGATGGTCCAAACCTGGGTCGCTTCAAGTGGCTCTCCATTTTGAGTTCTCGGAAGCACTCCTGAAAAGTGGTTCTCAGCTGAACTTCCGGGTGGTTTTGGAGAGGTTCGGAGCGGCTGCGGGCTGTGGATTGCTGTTGGGCCTCCTGTTGTACTCAACCACCATCAACTGGTGCTATAAGCAACCCCAACAGAAAAGAACCTGAGAAGCCAAGAAAGCCTGGAGCCCTGTATGCGGGGAACCCTACATTCCGAACCCCAAAAAAGGGCAGGAAGCCTAAGGACACATGCCTTCATTCGCTTCGGGCAAGGCGCCAATGTAGCCAATGCTGGCTGTCAGCCTCTGAGCCGCCCGTTCCATCTCCTCATGGAAAAGCGAGGGCCGACACCAGATGTGTCATGTGTGCTATAGTCAAAAGACCCGTCTGGTCGCCGAAAATGGACATGGATCCCCCGAGGATTGTAGGCCCCACCTTTATAGGATACATGAGGAGTCTTGATCAGACATTGTCAGACCGAGGCAATCGTGATGTTAAATTCATCTACTCTCCCAACCGAAACGGAAAATGGGGGGACAGAAAAGGAAGTCCAGGGGTCACAAAACTGTTTGCCCTATTTTTTGGAGGGGTGAGCACGAGGCGGCCAAGCTCGGCAATGGCATCAAGCTCATCCTGTCCTTGAAAGTGGCCTTTGGCACCTCAGTCGGCGCGGGAGTCATCGGTGAACTCCCACACAGAAAAACGAATACATACATACATAAATTGTGGTTATCCTTCTGGTTTCCAGATTAAATAAGTCCAAGGGGGTAGACACACCCATATCGAGGTGTCTCAAAATGACTTGGACTCCTCCACGATCGGCTCCACTTTCCTTTTTTAATATGGGTAATATGTCAAGTTCAATAAAAAAAGAAAAAACATCGTTATAGTCAAAACAAATATTCAAAATGAACTTGAACTATCCTTGGGGTGGAGGGGCCGTCTATTTGGAGGGTACTGTTTTCGGGCCTTTCTTGTAGGGGGAAAAGAAAAGAAGGAAAACCGCTACTTTTGCGGGTCCCCTTAGATGCGCTTCCCCGTAGCGCTTGCAAGAAGCGCCATGTCATGGTGGTGTGCAAAAACCCTCTGAAATCTAAGGTCCCTCTAATTGGCTTAAATATGTTTTACAAAAAGCACCAACTCCCTAAGCACTCCAGAAAGATCTCCCCCTCAAGCATCGGAGGAACCAAACAACTCGGTCATCAAGAGACATTATCCCTAATATGGCTCAAATGGGGATTTGTTTTTCAGCTGGCGCGCAGAAGACTCACATCATTTGTTGGATTTTCGGCCAAAAGGCGGCTCCTTGCTCCTTTGCTCGTCCCACAGACTGTTTGTGAGCGCCCGACACCCCGTTGACCTTTGGTGCTGCTAAAATATGGCCCACATGCTTGCGAAACCTGTCCGAAGCTGGTTCCTAGTGCTCTGCATCCCCTAGACGGATCACCCTGTTGATCAACCATTGGAGTTGGAAATTTATGGTGTTCATCTTTTAAGAATATCGTGGGTGTGTTATTCATTGCGTGTCAGGTACAGTAAAGATATTAGGGGCTTTCCGAGGCGCAATCACCATCCCGGAAAATGTGCGGGGGGAAGAGCCGGCCATTTGTTGGGCTACTTCCCCGTGTTTGACAAGGGCGTGGATTTACATAGCGTCCCCAAAATCATGGGTTGTCCCTGGGACCCCTCCCCCCCCTTTACTGAGCTACATCCCGGCCCCCTCCATGACTTATGTGGGGAGTGTCCTGTTTCCTGGACAGGTGGGAAGAAAAGAACCTCCTGAACTTGCAACACCACGTGAGTCACAATCAAAACCTGGATCAAAAATGGTGAACCCAGAACCATGTTTCAAGAATTAAGAAGGCGGATGTCCGCAACCATTTCCGGCTGGGACTGCCCCTTACTAACCTTCATCTACCCGGGTTTTGATTGTGGCTCACGTCTTCAGCTTTGTACACCCATCTTGCCTCCCTTTCTTGAGCTCCCGCGCCCCGTGTTTCCCTTGATCGGAGGCTTGGCCCCGCCCTCCTCACTCGGCCCCGTGCCATCTCGTCCACTCCGCCCCTCGCCATCTCGTTCTGAGCCTCGCGCGATCACCGGGGGCCCCTCCTCGAAGATCTTCTGAAACCTCCGCTGCGTGGAGCAGTCCCGGCCACTCAGCGCCACCACCGCGCCCTGCTGGTCCCCCACGATCTGCACCTCGATGTGGCGGGCGCCTCGGCCAAGGCCCAATCCGCGGGCACCCAAACCACCGAGCGGGATGCTCGTGGGGAAACCAGGTCGCCCTCTTGTGTTGGTAGAATTTAAACAGAAGCCCCAAAAAAAAAGAAAATACCAAGGGCAGGAGGCTCGTGTCAGTATTGGTATAGCCGTTCTTCAGGGTACCTTTGGGGTAATTTCACTTGTAAAGAAGCAGTGCGCTCGCTTTGAGCAGGATTGGATGTGTTTTTTTGTTTTTGTCCACGCAGCTTCTCACGATCGGTTGAACCGTCCCCTCCATGTGAATCCTGAGAGCACGCAGCATCTTTTTGGCTGCGTTCCAGTAGACTTCTTGGGGTGATATGGGGACTCTCCGAACTGGGCGTGCCTTACATCCGGCGGGGGTCTCCACAGCTCCCCGTTCAGGTTGGCGGTCCTTTGGCTTCGCACATTTTTCCCCCCAAAGAGGACGGTTCCCACTGTGGGCACCATCCATGGGTTCCGGTTCCATGAGACTTCCCGAGGTGAGCTGTTGGGCTGAAGTCGATCAGGAAACTTTCCTGAGGCATCAAATGCCCATTTTCCTGTTCAGAGGTTCCATGCGAAAAATTGGCGGGGTGCCTGGCTTAAACCCCCCAACCATGAGCAGCACGATCGCCTGTGCAGAGCTGCATCATGAAGATGGGCGACCCGGGGACTTCCGCCTGGACCTGAGGGAAGTTCTGCTCCAACTCCTCCTTGTTGTTGGACATGCGGATCCCCTTGCCGCCTGCGGGCGCAACTCACCAGGAGAGTAGCCACGTCCGAAATCACCAAAACCAGAAACGGGGGGGCCAAAGCAGGTGGACAAAAGTAGCTCAAACAACCAGATCCTGCCCAAGTTGAAGAGGGAAGCCACCAAGAAGGTGTTTGAAGCCATCGTACTCCAAGAACACCCCGCCAAGAGAGATATAAACATGCGAATCGAACCCTGGCCTCCGCCCTCTGATGCCTTGAGCATCACGGGATAGCCGATGCGCTCGGCACACTTCACCGCATCCTGCACGGAGTTGAGGCAGGCCTTCTTGAACGTCTCGTCCGGGATGGTGCCCTCTGCTGTGAGCTCGGCCGTCAAGCCGTCGCCGCTCCATGGGATGGAGGGCACCCCTGCAGTCTGCGCCAAGATGCCAGCCGCGATCTTATCCTTGCCCAAAGGACCCAGAACTATAAGGTGGACCGTTTGGGGCCATGACTCAAAACGGGCAAGCCGAAATGGGCAAGCCAAAAGGGCAGATCCGGTCGACTCGCTTTGGGCAGAGCATCGCCAAGCACAGACATCACGGGAGAGGTGGGCCCAATGAAAGCGATGCCCGACTCCTTCAGCTTGGCTGGAAGGCGCGGGTTTTCGGAGGCATGGCCCCAGCCGGGCCAAACTGCGTCCACCTTCTCCTGCTGCGCAATCTTGCAGATCAGGTCCACGTTTGCGTAGTTCTTCACCTCAGAGCGGCCGAGCACCAAGGCACAGATTGGCTGCATGCCAAAAATCAAAAGAAGAAAAACAAGTTGGAGGACTGTCTGAACATGTTGAAGCGCGCCACTTGGGCGTCTCTGAAAATCGGGAACCCCCCAAAGTGGCCACCTTTTCCTTTAGTTTCCCTTCAAACCCTCCGAAAAAGAAAAAAAAAACGAGGGGGGGTTAAAGCGGGTAGCAACAAAACCCTTGGCCGCCTCCAAGAAGGCTTCCAAGGCGCGTTCTTCCCCGCGGGGACCTCCACGTGCTTGTCGGCCAGTCGGATGAACTCGGCGTTGGCGTCCAAGTCCTCTCGCGTGGCCATGGACACAAACTCCAGGATTCCGCTGGAGCCCAAGCCAGCCTGGCGTCAGAAAGCACAGGCGAAACCGTCCGGTGGACTCTTTGGTTGGAAGTGAAAACCCCAGGTTCCTCCTGAAGCCACATGAGATTTTGGTACCTGATCCCGAAAAGACAGGACCCTTGAGCCGCTGACTTCGGAAACCCCTGCTGGCTGTGGGCAACCCTCCCACAACCCTCCCACCACCCACACCCACCCCCACCCCCCAAGCCCCAGTCCAGCCCAAACCTCAGCGTCTGGCCTTTTGGCACCTCCACATGGAACTCCCAAATCCACTCGCAGCAACTGGCCACGTGGAACGTCATTCCCAAAAAGTCACAGGGCAGTGACCCAGGAAATGATCCAACAGCTCGGCCGCGCCTCCATGTGGGCCCATTGGCGCATCGACATCATCACCTTGGCCGCAGCCATACCGTTGCTCGCCACCAAGATCCGTCGTACCGCCTCACGCAACCGGAGAGTCGACGAAGCCAAAGGCGGGTGGTGAACCGAGCCCAAAAGACCAAATGCCAAGCACACCAACAACTCCAGACAAAAGCTCCAAATAGAAGCCCCAAAAACACAGGAAAGAAAACAAACAAGTCAAACAAGACTACAAACACCCTCAACCCCACCGCAACGGTGGGTCTCTACCCAAGCACCAGCTCCGTTCCCCGACCCGGTGCCTTCTTGCCCCCGCATGCTTTGAGGTACTCCTCCAGCGGGTCTTTGGCATGGGCTGAAGAGCCCAGGCCCAGCCAAGACCGGAGGGTCCCGGGCCTTCGGTTCTCTCGTGGCGCGCGTGGCGCGTGGAGATATTGAACCGCGGATGGATGCGAAACCCTCGCACCAAAACAAAGCCAGGGTTGAAACATAACGTTTGTTGGTAGTTACAGGGAAATCCTTCTCCCACGGCTTCTTGGGTGGCGCAGGATCTCGTCCATCCAGTAAGATGGTGGGTTTTGAAAGGAAACCAAAAGGCAACAAAAAATGGTGGTTGTTTTTCTTGGGGGTTCCGTTCACAGAAGCCCCCTAAAGTTTTAGACAAGACACACCCACACGGGCATGTGCATTCTTTCGGGCATCCTTGGCCCCGGTTCTCGCAAAACCCAAGGGAGAACCACCATCTGGGTTGGGACCCATAGGTTTTGGGCGCGGGGGAGTGCTGAACAAGATGAGGGCACCATTGTTGGGCTGGTGTGAACCAAAAGCAAACCGAAATCAAAGTTGCTTGGGTCCAAATCGTCAAAACCCCGTACTTTTAGTGATCATCCCAATCCCCACTAAAATAGGTCCTAAAATGGGTGGTGCACCGAAACCCCCAAACTGGGATCCCATGTTGACACATTTTTCCAATTCGGAGGTTCCTAACCAAGCAGCTCGCCTGTTCACAGGTTTCAGGATGCTTGCAACTTCCCGAAAGAATCCTAGGTTTATCTTCGATGGAGTGGGTTCTAAAGTGGAATCAGTTTCATCTACCGCCAAACTACTACCGGGTCAGTCAACCAGTTTTGCAACCGAATCTGCTTGCCCTGCTGATGGACAAAATCCAGCAATAAGGACAGACGAAACCGTACGAAAGCTGGGAAACACCTACCAACTTCACCTCACCGCTACTTGTTGGACAATAGGGGGTGCCTTTTTTTCATTGGCTTCGAAGGAACTGGGAATCGAATCCCTACGCCACAAAACCGAACCACACAAAAAGGGTAACCTGACATCTGGTGCAGCACTTCCATCCATAGAAAATAAAAACACTCAGGCCCGAGCTCATCCGAGGGAGGGGGACTCGGCATGCCTCGCAAGCGACACGACACGCGGCTGAGCGTGCTCTCAGCTCGCCACAAAACGAACAAACTCGCCGGCGGAATGATTCAAATAGCTTTGTCTCAACTATCAGGCGGTCCAGAAAATGGGCTTCAGGTCCGGTCTTCCTTTGCTTTCCCAGCAAACCCACCACAAAGGTGGTACTAGGTCAGAGAAACACACCAAACGGCTCCGAGAAGCTTCATGGTGAAGGCGTCCAAATGGCTTCTGTGTCTAGCGGCTTGTGTTTCCGTGAGCTTCCAAAACGCCCAGCGGCTCCGAAAAGTCGAACTGTGAGTCATACCCCGAGGTCCCGACCAAGTCTCCGATGCGACGCGACGCCCCACCGGCCTGCGAAGGCCCAGTGGTGCTGCTCGCCTTCTCTTTCCAGCTGGAGCCCAGACGGCGGTGTTGGAAGCTTCTGATTAGGAAGCTCATTTTTTGCCCCCCCCCCAAAAAAAAAAAAAAAAAAAAAACAAGAAAGAAAAAACGATGTGCTCACCTTGCTCAACTTACAAGTGAGGGAAAGTGCGACTTCCGCTCGCAAAGTCGCGCTCCAGCAGCCGCATATGTTTGGGTTCCATCGGCACCTGAAGCACAGTGAGGTTTAGTGGACCCGAAGTCCGAATTGATTGAACTCGAGCTCACGCAGGCTTGGTAGCAAAATGTCTTCCAAGCTCTGGCTGAAACTCGAGCCAAGGAGCAAGGTTTGGAGGCCGCTTGGCAGAGCGACGTTTGTCAAGCTCTGGTTGAAATCCGAGCCAAAGGTAAGAGCTCGCAACCCGCTGGGCAGAGTGACACCCTCCAAACTCTGGTTGAAATGACAGCCGAAGGTCAGCGTCTGCAAATTCCTTGGAAGGGTTACGCCTTCCAAACTTCGGTTAAAATCACGGCCGAGGGTTAGGCTCTGCAAGCTGTTGGGCAGCGCGCCTAGGCCTTGCTCGAAGCACTCGCCGAAGGTCAAGGTCTGCAAACTGCTCGGTAGCACGATGCCGTCCAAGCTTTGGTCGAATCTCCAGCCAAAGCTCAAGGTCTGCAGGCTCTTCGGCAGCGTGACGCCTACCAAACTCTGGTTGAAGCTCGTACCAAAGGTCAGAGTCCTCAGATTCTTTGGCAAAATGACACTCCTCAAGCTCTGGTCGAAGTCGTCGCCAAAGGTCAAGCTCTGCAGGCTGCTTGGCAGCATGACCCCTTCCAAACTCTGGTTGTAGTCGGACCCAAAGATCAAGGTCTGCAGGCTGCTTGGCAATGTGACCCCTTCTAAGGTCTTGTTGAAGCGGTAGCCCAAAGTCAGGGCTTTCAAGCCGTTTAGCAGCACGACATCCGCCAGGCTCTGGTTGAACTCTTGGCCCAAGGTCAAGGTCTGCAAGCTGATTGGCAGGGCGACACCTCTCAAACTCTTATTGAAATACTCGCCAAATATCAAGGTCTGCAGGTTGCTTGGCAGGACGACCCCCTCCAAACTGTTGTAGTAGGCGCCCAAAGTCAGAGTCTGCAAACTGCTTGGCAGAGCCACGGCCGACAGGCTCTGCTGATACCATTTGCCCAATGTTAAAGTGTGGAGACTGCCTGGTAATACAACACCTTCCAAGCACTGGTCGATGACATCTTCAGTTTCCTCTTCGGGATTTACTACTTCATCACAGCCAAAGACTAAGCTGGTCAGGCTGCTCAGTGCAGCGCCAGCCAAGCTCTGATTGAAACCGGAGCCGAATCTCAAATTGAGCAAACCACTGGGCAAGGTTGTAGTTCCCAAGCTTTGGTTGAAGCTTTTGCCGAAGCGCAGAGTCTGCAAGCCGTTCGGCAAAGCGACACTTGCCAGGCTCCGGTTGAAAGAACTGCCGAAAGTCAAAGTCTGCAAAGCGTCAGGCAGCGACACGCCGTCCAGGCTTTGGTTGAAATCGCGGCCAAAGGCCAACGTCTCCAGGCTGCCTGGCAGCGTGACACCTCTTAGGCTCTGGTTGAATGAGTCTCCAAGTGTCAGGGTCCGCAAGCTGCTTGGCAGAGCATCCAGGCTCCGATTGAACTCCGAGCCAAAGGTTAAACTCTGCAGATTGGGTAGGGTGCCTAGGGTGCCGTCCAAGGTCCAATTGAAAGAATCTCCGAAGGCCAGACTCTGCAAGCCCCTCGGTAGAGCGAGATCTTCCAAGCTCTGGTTGAAGCTCGGGCCAAAGTTCAGGCTCTGCAAGTTGCTCGGCAGCTTCTCGGGAAAGTTGAAAAAGCTTTCGCCCAGATTTAGCGATGCAATGGCTTCAACGGTGTTTGCATCTTCTGCGCTTTGCGCGTCCTTGGAGTGCCCCAACAAGTCGGCATATCCCAGGCAGGCTACGACAGTGAAACATCAAACACAAGCATGCGAAGACGACAAGAAAGAGCCAAACCACCATGAACATAGAACCACTGCAATAAAAGCACAGCAATCTACAGCTACAAAAGCTGCAACAAAACTCATGTCGAGGGTGCCCCTACATTGACAGACATATTACATGTATATATATATATATGTGTGTATCTATATATATATACGTTTCTATATATATATATATTTGTTCAGAGCACCAAACCACAGCTCCCTAGGCCAAGCCTCACTCGCCAGTCGTCGCAGGCTCACAGCGGCTCGGCCCGCGCTGACCTTCGGCGAATCGCCAGAGGCCTTGGCCTCGGCAACGAGCCTCGGACAGCTGGCGCGAGAAATTCGGACGCCCCGCGTCCCACAGGCCTTGGTCTAAGGGTTTTTGTGTTACATTCTGGGAATACACCTGGGTATTGACCCCATTTAGGCACATGTCCGGATAAAACCGAGTTATTTTGAACCATTCTGGGTCATTTCCCAAGGGCGTAATCCCAAAATGCAACACAAAAACCCTCAAACTTTGGCAAGAAATTCCGCCGAGGCTAACGGCCGTGGTTGCCGCGTACGGGCAGACTCTTTGGCCAGAAATTCCAAGGCGAATGGTTTGAAGCCTCTTTTGAGGAATCTCTTTGTGTTTTGTTTGCACTGGAAGATGTGGGGTTCAAGGACCTGTTTGCCAAACATGTGTTGAGGACCTGTTTGTGGTGTGTTTGCTTTTGCGTTGGGAGGACGCTGGACCGAATGATGCTGATGCTGTGGTTTCCGACGCGACATGCTGTACTTGTGCCTACAACTGCTGCAAATGTCTGAGCAAAAGCTTGTATGTTACTGTGTGCACTGATGAATGTTGACGGCTTTAGTAGCGGAAGGGGCTGTTTGAGCCTGATGCTGTGGGTGCCGCCCGCTCGCGCGGGCGCATGTGCGCGCACGACCCGCCTGTGCCGCGAGGTCCTAAATAGTCATCGCAACATACAGGCATAGTCACAATCATGAGGTCAGTGGTGGCAGACAATGCTCGCATGATATCTAGCTGGTGCTCGAGCGTCGTTAAAAACAGTGTTTTGTTTATTGTTTTCTGGAGAAAATGGCTGAACCTGCGTTTGGACGCTCGGGATCAGGAACCAGGCTCATGCTCGTGTTCTCGCATGTTCGTACAGTAGTATATGGAGGAGTTAAATACTTAGGGTCCTTTCTTGGAGTTGTACCCCAAATTGGCCGGTAACTCAGAATACTGCGAAGGCCGAAACCATGATCAAGTCATCATAAACATACCCAAAAACAACCAGTCCAAATCACACCGAAACAATACACGCGAAAAGAGAAGAAACAAAAAAAGAAGGAAAAGAAAGGAAAACAACCGCTGGCCCAGCCGCTCCGTAGCCATCTTCGTCAGCCGCTCTGCTCTCTCCACGTCCTGCGCAATGAAGCTGCGCAGCACCGCCTCGCAGGAGGATTCGTCCAAAGACGCGGACGCGCCAGCGCCCATGGCGATTGAGCTCTGCTTGCAATATCAATATGCTGCGGCAACTTCCATTTGGTTGTTCGACCCCTGGAAAGAGGAAAAAAAATCCAGTAGTGATAAAATCCTTTTAAAACCAACAAGGGGGGAAAAAAGAATCACTTAAGCAAATGGAAGTCAAAGGGGGGGAGTTGTCGCACTTTCAAGACCTTTGCTTCTTCGTATCGCAAAACCATGGTGCTTTCCCGTTGTTTGGCTAGGCGGCAGCATGAATATACTGAACCGCCTGCTGGGTTGCACACTGATTTGAGTGGTCCATTAATATTGATACATATATGTATATATATATAGATAGAGAGAGAGAGATATATGCTGGCATGCCTCTGGAAACGGCACTGCAATTGTTGCGAGCTCACTTGCCGGAGCTGTACTTGATGGCAGGAATGCAAGCTGCCCGAAATTGTTAGCAGCTGGTTGTCACAATCCGACATCCTTGGTCCCGTCTTGATCCAGGGGCCAATGCCTAGGGAATAGGAGTATCGGATAATAAAACCAGTCCCCAATTTGATGAGATACAATCTTGCCCTCTTGGACGGGACGATTTTTTGAGGGGGCACCAAAAGGGAGCTCACTGATAGATTCTCTTTGCGGGCAAATGCCAATACTTAAGACAGGTGCGAGTGAGGCAGCTTATGCCCCTTCCAAAACACAAGATCAAAACAAATGCAGGCAAAATACACTTATTGGCAATCGCTGATCTTGCAAGTCAGCTTTTCCTGGAAACTGATTCGAATGTGTGACTGAGTCAAAGAAAGTTGCAAACTAAGGTAGTGTACTTGAATGTGTCCAGCAATGAAGGGTTTGCAGCGAATGTGAGACCCTGGTCAGATCATAAAGCGGAAACTGACCTGAAACCAGCCACATAGAGCTTCGGCCAAGTTGCGTTTTATGTTGGGGGTCCCAGGTGCAATCTTTTGGACTAGACTAAGACGCTCAGGTGCAGGAAAGGTACTTCCTTTGGTGAAGTGCTCGTCGCTTTCATTCAAACAAAACTGGCGATACTCAGGCTGGGGCCAAGCCAAATCAAGAAAAGGACAAAATGGAGTCAACTGCAGCCAATCGCAGCGCCACTTGCACAAAGGCGGCGAGGGCCGGTTGAATGAATTGGCATGCCTACCGTCACTTTACGAGACATGTGCACGGTATGAACCATGGGTTGCGGAATATGACCCCTTTCATCGATTCCATTGTTGGCCTTCTCTTGACTGCTTTGCTGCATTCAAGGCACACTTGTTTGTATCACAGAAAATGGGAACCTAACTAAACATGGTGCGTCTTGGCGTTTGCCGATTCTTTTCTTCGCTGAAATTGCTCCCCTTGAAGGAGCCAGAGCTCGTGCTGGATTGCCAGCTCGCAAAACGCGGCCCTTCCAAACCAAAACCAGATAGCATCCGTGCCATGTGCATTGAGCCACTGCTTGCGACGGCAAAACGTCCAGTTAAAAGCTGACCACTTTGCCTAGCGCTTGCAAATGGTGAAACCGTCAATTCTCCGCAAGTCTAGCCTCAGCTCGTGAGGAGACCAGAACCAAAAACCATGGCCCTTTCTCAGGTCGGCGAAACCTATGGGGGGGTCAATGCAAATTCTCACAAGGCGTTTCCACATCACCAAAGTGACGCTCAGGCTCAACTTCTCTCACTTGGCTCTCAGCAAACCTTCCACAGAACAAATTGTCTTTCCGTTGTAAACTTCATACCCATGTCTCTTTTGGTTTTTGTTGTGGGAGTTTTCAAAATAAAGAGCTGGGGCTGTGCACCCCCCTCAAATCCCCCTCCAAAAGCGCTGCAATTGCAGTGGTATCCACTGACTCACTCCGCTGGGCGGGGTGGGACCCCAGGTAAACCCGCCAAAGCAAGGAGAAGCAGCCAGCGCTAGGAAACATCTGCACTATGTGGCATACTTCGTAGTTAGGCATCAAATGCCTGAATCCCTTCGCTTGCTCGCTTAGCCCACAGTTCGTCGGAGAATCCAGCGATTTGCCTGCCGGATTGCTACTCCCCTAAACCTTCTAATATGAAGCCCAACAATGGAACTTCCTGCAAGAAAGAGAGTTTCAGGCTCCGTGTTAGCTTGGAGAAGGCTAGTGGTTTGAACGTGGCCTGGATCCTAAATAAGCATTGGGCGTGTTGGCTTTCTTTCGATCATCAGGAGCCCTTCAAGACCCAAATCGCCCAACTGACTTTGAGGTAGAGCAGAGGTTTCTGGATGCATCCTTCAATACTGGTCCCACCGGGAAAAAAACAACAACAAAAAAAACTGTCAAAATCACCCCCAAAGTTCCAGGTCAAAGGGAAACGCCCTCCAGTTGCTGACTTTCATAAACCCCCAAGAAGCCGCAAATCCCGACAAAAACGGCCCAGTGGGTTTTTGCCCTTTGGTTTCCCCCAGCCCAAGGGTCGCCAGGGGACACAGGGAGCTGGCACTCCGCGAGGTGGAGATGCCCCTTCGGGCCTTCAAGATGCGAGCGGCGCTTGGGGGCGTTGGGGTTGGGGGAAGCCAAGGGAATCGAATTTCAGTTGGCGAAAGTGTCGTCTAGGTTTTGGGCGGAGGTTGGGGAGTTCGCCCGCCCGCCCGCCGGGGCCAACAGGGAAAGTTCGGTTGGTTTAGGCTCTTCCGCGGCAAAATGCACTCGACTCTCAGCCTCGCTTCCGGATACCTCCAAGCCTTCAATGGCACAATGCATCAATTGGACCAGATTTAGAGGTTGCCTCTGGCTGGTTTCAGCGCCCCAGTTCTTCGAAACCAAACTATGACAGGCACACGTAGTTCATCTTAGGTCTCTTGGTTGGAACTGGAAAACAAGGATGGACCGTTGGGGGCCACTAAACTTGTTTTTTTCATGGATCTCTTTGCGGAAATTACCAAAACGTCGGTGAGGTATGCCATAAATCCCTCTAACTCCAAAAGTCTGAAAGTCTGAAAGTCTGAAAATCCACGGCCCTGGATTAAAAAACCTTTGAGCCTAGTTACTGGTGGTCTTGGGGTGGTTTAGGTCCGTGTAGCATGCAGCCTTTGGGTTGCTGGGTTGCGTGGCCAAGCCCTAAGACCAAAAACTGCTCCAGGGACGCCTCCTTTCTTTTGGGACTCGTGCCATGTTTTTTTCAGGACGTTCGGAAGGGATCCCTCACGGGGCTCAAAAAAATGTTCATGTCCCCCTACATCACCATTTACATGGCCCCCTTTTGGTGTTCAAACCCACCGAGGAGTTTTTTCATGAAGAGCTGAGGCCTTTGCCGCGCGGCGGCCCCGGTCAGACGCAGGCCTAGTCCCGTGTCACGGGTGATCACAATTTGAAGGCCCCGAAAGTGGCGGGGAGCTCTAAATTTGAGACAAACTCATGTTGAGCATATGAGCAATGGTCAGTATGATTATTGGTGAGTAACCCCCGCCCTCTCGTAGTATTTTGGTGTACCCAATGTGAGTATGGCAGAAAACATTCACTGTTGCTTGTATGAGGGTTGCATGAGCTTCATTTTGTCCACATCATGGTTTTATGCTGAAGCCAGCCCGGACCAAAAGGAAGCTGTCAAAAGTGTGCAATATGTTTTCCTACAAATATATCCTACAATTGCTTTCCTCGGAGTAAAAGATGTACCACCCGCTCCCCCATGCCTTGCTTGCAGTAAGGCAAGCCCCCGACTCCAAAACCGCCACCCCCTCAATCCCTCCGTCCGAGGAGACAACCGCCAATACATTTCTGCACATATGTATACATGGACACATACATACATACATATATATATATAAACATATATATATATACATACATATATGCATGTATGCATGTATGTATATACGCATGTTTACTTATGTACATATGCATACGTATGTGCATGTTATATCTATGCAGGCATGCACTTATACATGCATAACTTCATACATGTGTACGTATATACATATATATACATATATGCATATATGTATGGAGGGTGATTCCAAGGCATTCCAAACTCGGGGTGGGGAGTGGCCTGCGCTTGTCAAGCCTCAGGCACTTGCCTTGAGGTCGTTGAGGGACCCCTGGATTCCAAGATTGCCTTCTCCCAAAGTTGTTTTAACTTTTTGTTTTCCTTGTCTTCTTGAAGCGGTGGGCGGCCGGGGGTCCTGGAGGAGAAATGTCAAAAGTATTATGACCATTGGAAGATGACTGCCGAGCTTAGATGTCGAAAGAGAATGAGTGGGTCCCAAGAGTCCGTTCCACTTTGCCTCGTCAAGGGGTGCATGCACACTATGGCTTTTCTTACTGGTCAGGCAACTCTTGGTTGTGGTTTGGATTGGTGGTTGGACTTTAACCCCTGGTGCTCGGGGGTAAATAGGAGAGTATCAATCCAAACCGCCAAATGAATCAAGCTAACAAAAAGGGGAATGTGGTTGGCGGACTGTCAGCAAGAGCTGCTTCGACCACCTTCGCAGGCCCTCAAAAAGAACCACCGGTCGAATCAACATAGATGCACCAGGCTAGTGGGCAGACCACATTGCCTGCATGTTCAGATCACGCATCTACACAGGGTCCGTATGGAATGAGTTAACGTCCGGGAGGTGAATTTTGAGGGCGCCCCACCAAAATGGACCCACTCCGGCGAGGCCAACTGTCCGAGTCCCCGCCTGCACAAGGAGGGCGCCGAGGCGGCGTACACACTCCGCATGGAGGGCAGAGGCGGCAGGAAGCCAGGCTCCTGCCAAGTAGCGGAGGTTGCGGTAGCATACGCTGCTTTCTGAGGGGATACTCTAAAGCAGCTGCTTAAGGGATATTTAATTACCTGTTGGGGCCGATGGTTTGGAGGCGTTCCGGGCCCCTTTTTGGGGCTCAAACCCCCAAGGCCACCAATCACCAAAGAAGGGTCACCTGGATGGCTAAAGAAAGGGAGCCATTGAATGAGCGCAGAAAAAGGAGAGTGCTTCCAGCAAAAGATTTGCGGAACCCAGAACCAATCTACCTCAGCTGATGCCCCTAAAGACGGAAGTTTGTGTGTGTGTGTGTGTGGCTCATATCTGGCGAAGCATGCAATGCGACATAAGTTCAAGCGAGAGGAGATGGAATCTGTGTCCAAGCCAAAACCATTGCCTTCATTTGAATGTCGCTTTGCGGTAGGACGCGTTTGTTTCCCGCGAGCGTCGCGAAGGGTTCTTCCGTGCAGCCCTGGGACCAGACTGCACCCAGAAACTTGCACAAATGCACAGAGAAACTTGTCCAGAGAAACTTGCTTGCTCGAAGAGAACTTGTTCAGAGAACTGGCTTAGACAGCTTGCTTTCTATTTCTTCTTTGCTTTCCAAGGCACTTGCACAGAGCAACTTGCACAGAGCAACTTGTACAGAGTGTAAGTGGCTCGCGGTATGGCTTTGGTGCGTGTGCATGAAACATCCTGGGGGAGGTTGCTGAACGATTCTCCAAAATCATTGGGAAACAATGCTTTCTGGCCAATCGTCCTCCAGTTCGAAGTAGGAAATGAACCCTTAACATTTGCCTTGTTTTCCTGCTGGCTCCCTTTCAAACCTTCAAAAAGCGACGTCCTTTCCTCTTTTTTGGACTAGCCGCAATGAGTGGGTTCTTCCAATGTGGAAGAAAGTTGGCACGGGTCGAACAGGAAACCCAAACTTTCAAGCGGGCCATGCATGTTGTTTCCACAACTTGGTGGTTCGCTGATCCCTTGCTACGGATTGGTGGGATGTGTCTGAAGTCCCTCTTGGCTCGACAAATCGAAACGTCTAAGGGTGTAGCTGGGAACCGCCAAAATAAGGTCTGAAATGGACAGCCTGGTCAAGTTCCATCGGCGAAAAGCCTTGAGTGCCTAAGTATCCCAGGGCAACCCCCGACGCCGCGTTGACCAAGTGAGTTACGGAGCAGGTTGAGGTCATCGCTGAGTCCCATGTTGCCCCTTCAAACGTCAGCGTCCAAGAGGAAACTCACGCTTCACTGGCCCGAAGGTGAGGAATAAACTTTCAAAAGGGGAAAAATGAAGCAAAGGAATCTCGCAACTTCCCGGTTTGTTGGGAGCACAAGTGCGGCATCATGTTGACTTCGGGGAGCATGAAGCCCACACGAGCAGCGCGGCCGTCTCCTCTTTCTTCACCTTCACCTCCTTCTTCTCTCGTGAAACAGGCTTGAAGGCCTCCTGCCCCCGCGCCTTGACAACATGACACGCTGGCATAAACTGTAAGGCCCTAGAGACCAACTTGTCTCGATGCTTTCATTGTGAAATCCCTTCAAAGCCAACAGGAGCAAATAAACAGAACACGCCCACATGCCGGCCGTTTTGGCCAACGCCCGGCGCGCCTTCAGGCACAGGTTGGGCGTCTTCTTGGGCAAGCGCGGTAACTTCAGCTCAACCCGAGCCCAGGCTCGAGTTTCCGCCTCCTCTCGCTCCACCCGGGCCGCCATGGTCGCCAGGTTTCCTGAGCTCCAATACATCCCTGTGATTCTAATGGGGCAAGGCACAAAGCCCGAACCAAAAAGATGTTGAAAGCCTCAACCAACAATATGGCTAACCACCAGGTTGGGAACCCATCCTCCGCTTCTCCTTCCGCTCCTTCTGACCTACCAGAGCCTGCGGAGCCTGCGCAACCGCCGGCGCAACCGCCGGCGCAACCGCCGGCGCAACCTCCGGCGCAACCGCCGGCACCCGAGCCGGCGAGGCCTCTGCCAGAGCCGGCGCCTGCGGAGTTCTGTGGCCCCAGCTTTTGGATCCCCTTTGAACATGCGGCAGAGATGGATAGCACGAGGGACCATTGATTGGACAACGCCCCATACGAGGGTGACCATTGTTTGAAGGAAGCGCTTGGGTAGCTAGAGGAAATTAGCTTCCAAGGGGTCCCTTTCAGGTTCCGTCTTTGTCTTTGGGGAGAGTTTTAGAAAATGTTCTGCAGTAACTATGACTTGAGTGGGTCCTAAATACCTCACAACCTCGCTAGAAAAACATTTTCCGTGTTTTTTGCTTGAAAAGGAATTGATCTGCCAAAGGTATAACAGACATTGGGCACCTCAAACCTTCAATTCTTCCAGCCCTTGAAACCTCAATCCACTGAAAGGAAACGTCGGAATTATCCACAGGACCAGAATCCAGGCAATCCTCTGGAAATATGACCATTCCAGGAAAAACTAACATTCCCCATCCAACTTGGTATGCTGCTCTTTTTGGTTGGTCCGAAGTTGACGTGACATTAGCCCTGACCAGTCCTTGGGAACCCAAACAAAACGGGATTTCGAGCATGGCATTGATTGACATGGGACAAGCATTATCCCCAGGGGAGTTGTAAGGTCTTGACTAAGCTCACCCCATTCCAGTTAGCAAAAAAACGGAAGATACCCCCGAAACACAATGAAACATAGGATGGCACAGTGGCCATGCTTCTAATCACCCAACTGCTGATTTGGAGGTTTCCCAACAACCAAGCCTTACCTGAACTAACACGGAAGAGCAAAAGAAACGTCCCACGGCGCCTTCGAAGACAACAGCGGCTTCCGCTTCAGTTCTTCAGGCCGCGGGGTCCAGCTGACCTGGGAATGGGCTCTATGGCCCTATGGCCCAAGGGGGAAAAGTTCCTTTCCGCTTCCTGGTGATTGTGAAAACTTCCGATTTGGGTCGTATTGGGTGGTCAAACAACTCCAAGGAGTAGCAACAACAGCTGCGGTCGGAAAGTCCCCCGACAGACAGGAAGACAGACAGACGGAGACAGACAGAGACAGCCAGACAGACAGACAGAAAGACAGCCAGCCAGGCAGCCAGGCAGACAGACGGACAGAAAGACAGCCAGGCAGCCAGGCAGACAGACAGCCAGCCAGCCAGCCAGCCAGACAGCCAGCCAGACAGACAGACACACAGACAGAGAGAGAGAGAGACAGACAGAGAGAGAGGAAGAGAGACAGACAACAGACAGACAGACAGACAGACAGACAGACAGACAGACAGACAGACAGACAGACAGACAGACAGACAGACAGACAGACAGACAGACAGACAGACAGACAGACAGACAGACAGACAGACAGACAGAGAGAGAGACAGACAGACAGATAGACAGACATACAGACGGACAGACGGACAGACAGGCAGGCAGAGAGAGAGAGAGAGAGACAGACAGAGAGAGGAAGAGAGACAGACAGACAGAGAGAGAGAGAGAGGCAGACAGATAGACAGACAGACGGACAGACGGACAGACAGGCAGGCAGAGAGACAGAGAGACAGAGAGACAGAGAGAGGAAGAGAGACAGACAGACAGAGAGAGAGAGAGAGAGAGGCAGAGAGAGAGAGAGAGAGAGGCAGAGACACAGAGAGACAGAGAGACAGAGACACAGAGACACAGAGACACAGAGACAAACGGAGACGCAGAGACGCAGAGACAGACAGTGCAGGCAGGCAAGCAGGCATACAAACAGACACGCCAAACCAGACCAAACCAAACAAAACAAACAAACCAAACAAACCAAAACAAAACAAACTAAAGCAAAACAAACCAAAACAAAACAACCAAACCAAACAAACCAAAACAAAACAAACCAAACCAAAACAAAACAAACCAAAACAAAACAAAACAAAACAAACCAAAACAAAACAAAACCAAAACAAAACAAAACCAAAACCAACCGGAACAAAATAAATACAGAGAAGAAACCGATCAACAACCTGAGGTTCAAGCCGCCTCCTCGAAGGCTTCTTGTGCCTGATGAAGGCTCCGCATGAAGTCCTCCATGGACCTCGAAAGCTCGCGAGTTGCTTCCTCCGCCCCCCCCCTTTTCGTGGTGGTTGTTGCAAATGTTCATCACTGTGCGTGGGCGGGGGCAGGGTGTGGGACCTGTTTATTCCTGCAAGTTCATCTGAATTTCATCCCAGTGAGAAGGTCACCACGGAAGCCATCATGTCAAGTCCAGGGGCTCCTTATTCGAACGTGACCCATCCGAAGGAAACTCAGGTTGAAATGGACTCTCCAATCTTCAAATCAGCCAACAAATGGAAACCTAGATTTGTCTCGAAATCGGAAAACCCCAAAATAAAGGCCTCGAAAACCTAGTGTCAAAACAAAACGTACCCAAAGGAGCCAGGGTCAAGACTCCTTAATCATGCGAGGGTGAGAATAGGTTGATAATAGATGGCGCAAATCGTCTTATGTCGGTAAGTAACAGGGGGAGTTGGTCGCAAGAGTGTATGAGCGAACACAACCAACAGTGAGTGGTGTTCCATATGGTTTGCCTTTACCTAACATCGAGAAGCCTACAAACAAAAGACACACCTGGTTTGTCCCTCCCGAGGGAGACTCCATTCAATTGGCAACCCAAGAAATGGCTTTCCGAGCACCCTGTATGCTATATCGTCTGTATGCTTCCTCACCCAAGGGCGACTGATGTCAAGTACGATCTTCAAAAACCCCCAAAAATGGTTTCAGGGGGGCATATGGTTGGGTCTTAAAAAGAGGGGACCCAAAAAATGGCGCAAAGCATGGCGGTTTTCCTTTGGTGTTCCTTTCAAATATGAGGACGACCCTGCAACAGAGCCGGAGAGAGACTTGCTTCGCACTGGGCTTGCGACAAGGTCTCCTGCGAAACCGAGACTGTCTCTTCTTTTGCCAGGGAACACGCAGGTCACAAACACCAGGCAAGGCTCTGGATGCAGGTTTTGCGGATCCACTAGATATCAAATATGAACGAGCAGGGGAACTGGTGTCAGGAGGCCACAACAAACGCATAGACAGAACGCTCTCCTCCTGCAAGCAAGCTTGCAACTGAGGTCGAGGTTCGTCAGGCATCTGCTTCCACCTCCGGCCCGCTTCACTCTCTTTGCAAATTCGGTGAGTGTGGCCCATGTCGTCCCTCTTACTGCAGCAGATGACAGTAAATATCGACTGTTGCTCACTTGGCCTTGACGGGGCCTCGACTTTGCACACCCAAAACGGACCCCCGGTCACCTGTCGGAAATATGCATGCCAAATCCGCCGATTCAGAGCCATGATATGCTTTTGCTTTTTGTGTTCGTTCAAAAATAGATTGACCTTTCATGTTCCCGAACCATTCGGCCGCTATGGCTTCCCTTGCTGTGGCTCTGAATCTGAGTACTAAACGTTTGGCCAAACACGAGGTTTCTCCTATTGCACGTGACAGGTGAAGTCCTGATTGAGCTTTCTTCCGCGCAATGAGTTCGATCAATTGGCAAGTTGGAATGAGAGCGGTGTAATAAGGGCTCAGGGCCCGAATCTAAATGGCGAAAATGAGCCCCACATCCAACTTGATTGCTTCAGTCTCCCATCCCATCAACCAAAAGCAGACCGGGACCGGCACCCGCCAAAAGGACCGCCTACTGGCGCACCCCGCCTACCCACTGCAGCCGTGGGGAAGACCCCCACGGGCGCCCGGGCGGCGCACCTTTCCATGCTCTGCTCCAAGGCCTCCAAGCCCTCGGCGAGTTTCAGCTCAAACCCCTTTTTGTTGACCCCAAATGGCTGCTCAAAAAACCGGAATTCCCCAAAATGGGTTGCCCTGGTAAGTGGCATCAAAGACGAAAACCTGCGTTTTGCCCCAGCTGTTTAATCTTGAGCCACACCCATACTAATCAACCCCGGTTTATGAAATAGGGGTAGTGCTTTTTCCTGGGCTTAGTGGTTGGAATCATGACTTTTGGAGAGGGGAACACTTGTTGGTCCACCCTAGCCAGAACTCCGATCGGTAGCTCCTGAGCTCCCTTTCAGGCGAATTTGGATCTCCTTGGCTGAGCTCCCTTACCAGCTAGTGGGTTGGATTGCTGGTCGGGGAAGGGGTACCCCGAACATCAAACCACCAAACCACACCGCCAATTGGGGAGTAATACAAATACCCTCCACAAGTTCCTCTATGCTGGGGCAGGGCAGTCCTTTTTCTTCTTTTGGTTCACAAGCTTAGCGGTCTCCAAACCTGTTGCCACTGTGGGGTTGCGCCCCCCCCCTACACTGAACAGCGCCTTGGACTCGGTGAGGCTCTGCAGGAACTCCTCCACCATCCAGGCAGGCCGCATCGGAACTGGGACCTGCCAGGGCTTCTCGCGAGCAGCGCCCGAAAACCCTGGACTTCTTTGCTACAATCTATGAAACCAGGCAATACATTGCATGCACGAAATCCATTTCGCACCAACTGAGAAACCCTGGTTTCTGATGATTACCCTGCTCAACATGGCGCAGGACCTTGTCCATCGACAATAGAACCAACAACTTTGTGTGCAATGCGGGTTTGGTCGCTGCTCAAGTGTGGGTCACCGGGGACCTAAGAATGGAGGTGTGGGCGTTGGCAGCCCCTTTCAAAACAAAGGTGTGCTGCTCAACGAATCCGAGCATTTCTTCGATGTTAGGTCTGTCTTTAAAGGAAGTCACATGTAAACTACCCCATGTTGGCGATTTATGAGCCACAGTCAATATGAATCGTGCCGCCAACTGACATAGACGCTTGCTGAGGAAACCTGCCCACCACCGCCACTACCAGAGCCAAGAGACACAGTGCGCCCGCCTCTGGGTCTGTAGGCTCTGGAGGAGGCATCAAGGCACCTCTGCACTTCCCGCGATCTCTCTGGCTTTGCCGTTGGTGCCCGTTTTGGGGGGGCGGTGTTCAGTAAGCCACGTTCGCTTGGGTTGGCCGAGATGGACGGACCTCCACAGTCGCAGTCACATGTCTCCAAAGGTTGGTCCATAAATTCCACAGGCATCTGTCATATCCAGCTCTGAGGGTTTCACCTAGTTTCCTTCAGGCCTTTGAATCTTTTGGGGAAACAGGGACTGAGGGAAGGCTACTGAGCTCTCGGCTCGGCAACTCAGAGTGCCTGGCATCCACCGCTTTTGGCTCCCCCCTTTTCCTTCCCCCCCCCCCCCCCCGGGTAAAGGCGGCACCCGGAATGAGCCCTGGGTCCCAAGTCATTCAACCTGACCCCTTTTTTGCTTCAGGCACAAGCAGTAAACGATGCTGTCTGGAGCAGCCGTTTGGCTTCCCCTGACATGGGGCCCGGGATCTGTTTCCACACGCTAGCCATCAGGATCGCTTTCGAGAACCCACAACCATAGGTCCTTCTCAGGTCAGTCCCTGTTTCTTGAGCTGAAGATCAAGGTGAACATGCGCCGCACTCCCCCGCCTCGGATCGCTATCCAACGGCCGAGGATCCGTCTGGGCGTAGATGAGCTGCGCTGCAGCCATCGCGGCCTCGAGCCAACCCTTTGATTCGGCATGGGTACACACAAACAAAACAACCTAGCCCAAACAAAAAGGCAATGTGGATATCTTTCTTTTCATGCAACCAGATGATATCAATTCCAAAAAAACACATCCACAAAACAGAAAACAGGCTCGATTCTTTTTTCCTCGCGCCAGACCACGCCACCGCCGACGCCTTCCTTTCTCTGGGCCTGGTTGAACCATCCACATCCCTTTGAACGAGCAGACGTTGCAATGTAATCCCACAAATCCCACATCGCCCAATAAAAAGGAGATGAAGCTCATGCTGATTTTCCTTTCACGCCAAGAGATGGTACCCTCAAACAAACTAACAAACAACTACCAACCAACCAACCAACCAACCAACCAACCAGCCAGCCAGCCAGCCAGCCAGCCAACCAAAACACTCAAACCAAAATCCGAACCAAGCCCCGCCACTCCCATCTGCCCCACGCCCCCCCCCCCCCCCCCACCTCCGCCGCCGCCCGCGCCGCATCCCCCGCGGCTACGGCCGCCTCCACCGCTGCCGCAGCGCTGCCCGCGGTGCGGGGCCGCGAGGCCTAAAGCCGAGATCAGCACTCAGCGTCTGTCTCAAACGCCGGAACGCACATCCGTGCCCATCTTGGGAAATGCGGTATCTGGGCTTGACTGGTTATGGAGTTTGCAAAATGCCAAGTGGCTTCCCAATGGGCAAGATGTGTCACAACCATAAACAGATCGGTTAATGTAGGCACTGGATCTAAGTAGAACCAGTTCTTGCTTTACAAGTCCGAACCCCTTTCAGTAAAACCCCCCGATCAAAATCTGCCAGGATGAATCCAGGTTAAATGGCTCGGTACCCTTTTTGGTGTCTTAAAGGATATAACCGAAAGGACAGCCAAAAGGACAACCGAGGGGGACCCCATAAATGTCTTTGGTTTCCCTCTAAAGTTACAAATACAAAAACGACATATACCTCTGAAATTGGTATGACACCAAAGGAACGGAAACATGCCCCCTTGGCCTCAAGCAACAGGATCTGACTCAGCTGGGGAAACCGAAATGCCAGACACCCCTCGCAAAAAGACTGTCAGCTTCCTTCTGGTTTCCGTTTGCATGCCACCTTTTGGTGTCCGAATCCACCCGAATGGGGGCATACCAATTTGATGTGTGAAAATAGGGTTTCCTGACTCCCAAAACGGTTGTCCTCTTATTTACGGTTGCCCTCTTAGTTTCCCTGCCAAGCTGCAGGGTAACAAGAGACAAACCTCCCTCACCTACGCCCGAATTGGGGGCCCCCCCCACAGATTCCCCTAAGGGACACCTCAAACCTGGAATTGCTACAAAGCTTCGTGAGGTCATTTGACGAGCTCAGAATTTGTCCTCCAAAAGGTAGGGAGAAAGGGAGACCCCCTCCCTTAAAAGGAAAAAACACCTGAAACTGATCGTGGCCCATGCCTGCGCTTTTCTGGACTTGGCTGCCACCTTTGTAACCTCAATAGTCCCTGGAAAGTCCCGACAAAGTCCCCTGCCAACATCAACCTGGGAGGGAATGTCCCCAAACATCAACCTCAAATCAACCTGCAACGAGGCGTGCCCAGAAAGGTCTCAATAAGACCTGAGACAGGCCTCCACGGTTTTCCCGTTGCTTTCCGGCCCGAATCTCCGCATCTCTTGGTGCGCCTTAAAACAGGAGAACCACAGAACTGGTGAGTCTCCTTGCAGGTTTCTGGTCTCCTCACAAGACAAGTCCCGCGGGTCTGACGTTCACCCGAGGGCAACTCGGGACCCCCACGGTGGACCTCGCTGTCATGGGGTCCGAGCCCAGAAGTTCCGTGCCTCGATCCCCGAAAACCCGCCAGCCCGGTCTGGTTCCTGGCCCTCTTTTGGCGAAGCCCCCGTTGTTCTTCTGGCTTGAAAGGAAACCCCAAACGAAACCCACCACTTTACCTTGAAAAATCCGAATCCCAAGATGAAACAAAATAACAAAAAAACATGTGAGCCTTTGGAATCCCTTTTCTCGGGCTCGTTTTGAAAATCTGGTCCGCCCCAACCAAAAGACACGCACTCCAAACAACTTGGGGTGGTCTTTCTGTTGATGCCCGTTGTTTGCTCCAAACTCACAACCCAACTTGTTGTTATTGAACTTGAATCGCAACAATTATGATACCATCTATCTCATGCAGGCTCGTTGATTCCAATTCAAATCAACCCAATCACATCATGTTTCACTGGGTCCTTTGAAGCATCCTCAAAATTACCCTTCAAATGCCTTCCCTCCGCCCCCTCCCCCCCCCAAAAAAAAGAGAAGAGCCCAAGCAAGATCGAGCAACGCCAGCGGCTTGCCAGACAAACCGAAAAGCTCACGCCTTTGCGAAAGTTGTTGTTGATTTTTTTTCGCGGGGGGCGAATCCCATTCCATGAGCATCTCGCCTCGCCATGGGCTGGCCCGAGGGGTCGCCTGGCATACGAGACTGGAGACTTCAAGGAACCCAGCCATGTGCTCCCTCAGCTTTTGCCAGTGAAACGACTTCCTGGGATTCTAGCAATTTGGTGAACCTTGTAAGGTGTCAAACTCAGTCTGACTGGCCTAGCTCCAAGCTCGGATTCATCTCTTGTCAGCCCAGTTCCTGTGGGCGCGCATGGAAACCCTCCCCTCCCCGCCTTCCCCCCGCAAGCGGTGAGATACCAACTTAGATCTGGGGTCGATGCTGCGGTGACCAGCTCAGGTTCCTCTCCGACCGGATCCCAAAACAAAAGCGCCTGCCACAGTGGCGAGTCCAAGGGCTGCCACTGCCTTCCCTGAGGGTGAGCCCATCTCTCTTGACCCGTCTGGCAATGGTCCTGACCAAGATCTGATGGACTGCCCATGCTACCCCTTCGAGAATTGGGATATCTTCCCTTATGTTTGGAGGGGTTCGGCTGCGGCTTTGCAAGGTTGCAGGTTCCCGGGTGTTTGTTTCTCTTCCCTGGCCAATCAGCCCACTTGTGTTGTCAAAAACTCATGTGGGTCAACTGTCATGGTTTGACGGGACCCTCGTGGATTGAATGGAAACCAGCCCACTCATCACATGGCTATGTCATTCTAACGCTACCCTTGTTTTTTGGTGTTCAATGGAAAACCCGCCATTTTCCCCTAAAGAAACAAGCAAACTACTTGGTCGGATGAAAAACCGCTGAAGCCCGAGGCCCGTGCGGAGGGGCTGAGGCATGCCGCGCGCCCGGCGGGCACTCCCATCGAGAACGTTTGGATCTTGCGACGCCCAGGTGCCCGACTTTTGTCCAAGTTTTCTTGGGGCAGAAACGTCCCGGGGCTTGAAACCTCAGGAAAAGAGATATTAAAAAAAAAGGCCCCGCGGGGGTTTTTGGTTTTTGCTGAAGGGGGCAAACGAAAAGCAAACCGAAGGGAGGGTTGTCCAGCCTTAGGAGGCACTCACTAGCAGCAAGTCTAAAGTCGACTGAGGTGAGCTGCGAGGCATGAAGACTGTTGAGTCGCCCCAAGCTGAGCCTGCCAACACCTTGCCAGCGCCTGAGCTGCCGGCGAAAAAGCGGCGCCCGCGTTTGAACCCGCATTTCCCACCAAACGAAATATGATTCAGACATTGACTTTTAACATTGAACCTTTTCACGTTCCCGAAAGAACGCGCGACTTTAACCATGATACGGTGAACTGTTCGCTGGCTACCATCAAAGGATTGCAAAAAACACACAACAGTCATGCCATTCGTTCCGGTTTTGCAATAGGTTGATCCGCACTTGACAATCAGGCGAGGATGCGACCAGTGTTCCAATTAGTAGCCAAAAACCGATGATTGAATGTCAAGCGATGCATAAGACCATTCTGACACCAACAAGTTGACTGATTAATGATTTTGCAATTGGTTGTTTTTGTTGCTCCAACCAACTAGCCAAAGCATGTTTGATCATTGCACATGAAACGGACAAACGCGGAGTACAACGCCAAAAACTCAAGCGCTCTGCTGCTGACTTTTTCGGGCATCTACATGGAGAACCCTTGCAGTCTCTGTGTAAGGCCAAACCTGCAGTCAATGGGAAGTATCATTGGTAGGGCCCGTAACTGCAAAAGGGGGGGACACGCAAACAACAAGAACAAAAACAAAAACAAAAACAAGAACAGGAACAAAAACAAAACCAAAAAAAAAACAAGAACAGGAACAAAAACAAAAACAAAAACAAGAACAAGAACAAGAACAGGAACAGGATCAAGAACAAGAACAAGAACAAGAACCAGAACCAGAACGACAACGACAACGACAACGACAACGACAACGACGACGACGACGACGACAACGACAACAACAACAACAACAACAACAACAACAACAACAACAACAACAACAACAACAACAACAACAACAACAACAACAACAACAACAACAACAACAACAACAACAACAACAACAACAACAACAACAACAACAACAACAACAACAACAACAACAACAACAACAACAACAACAACAACAACAACAACAGCAACAACAGCAGCAGCAACAACGACAACAACAACAACACCAGCCGCAGCAGCAGCAGCAGCAGCAGCGGCAACAACAAAAAACAACAACAAACCGCAACTACCAACCAACAACCAACAATCAACAACCAACAACCAACACAACCAAAACAGCCAACACAGCCAACACAGCCAACACAGCCAGCACACCCAACACAGCCAACACAGCCAACACAGCCAACACAGCCAACACCTCCAACACAGCCAACACAGCCGACACAGCCAACACAGCCAACACAGCCAACACAGCCACCACAGCCAACGCAACCAACGCAGCCAACGCAGCCAGCATAACCAACACAGCCAACACGGCCAAGAACCGCCAACAGCCGCCACTCACGCATTGAGCTGTCCGACAAGTGCGCAATCTTAACTCGGCGCTATTGCAAACCGTGGTAACTGGGAAAAAATATCATTGCTTAGCAGTGGCAGTGTTGTCGATATAAGGTGGCCGCCCAACATGGCAACAATATGTTTTAGCATAGAAGGAAGCAAGACTTGGCAGCGGAAACAAACTGAATGCTGTGCGCAGGGCCCTTGCTGTGGAAAATCCAGGCATGTTGCACTGCTCCTAGCTTGAACCCAAACAAGACCACCCAAAAGAGGGATTGCTGAAAGTAGCACTGCTTCCAGGGCACGGGTGCGCCTGGAGCAGGAGGTGCGTTGACCCCCCGTGAAACTCTATGGCAAGACAATGCGTGTCCTTGCAAATGCATGCAGTGCGTGCATGGCGTGGCATGCGTGCCCACGCCCAACCAGTGGTCTGCGGCTCTGCCCAAACCTGCATGATTCGGAGACCATGTAGTCCGGAGACCATGAGCGGTCCGGAGACCTAGTAGTCCGGAGACCGTGAGCGGTCCGGAGACCAAGTGGTCCGGAGACCATGAACGGAGCGTCTGCGACTTCTCTTTTGCAGAGCCTTGTATTAGTGGGTGGGTGGGTTTCAAATGAAACAGCAAGTTTGGGTCAAGGCTAGGAGCAAAATGGCCACCGCGTAGGTAAATTCACAACATGCCCTAAACACAAAGGAAAAGAAAACCTTCAAAGTTCTCATCTGAAGATTTGCCACACGAATCCGAGGTCTCCAGTCAAAATCAAGCAAAACAAACCAACGTGACATCCGTGCAAAACCGCAGCCGCGAGAACCTCCGGCGTCCCCACACCCCAGCATCCCCAGCATCCCCAGCAGAGGCGTCCCGCGCGGGACATAAAAAGCACACCAAAATCATGCAAAACCATGCAAAATCAAGCAAAATCATGTCATGCCAAAATCAAGCAATGCGAAAAATCGTGCAAAACGAGCTATTCTTCTCGTCCGTATATAGACATACGGACAAGAAGAATAGCATTTTTCAGCGCAAAACCGTGTAAAAAGCTCCCAACCATACGGGCACGCATGATCGGGGAGAATGCGCGGCCGAGCAAAAAAAACTGGCCCCGTAAAAAAAGAATGGCAAGTTGGGCGAGACAACGACAGCAGATCACGGAGGCCGCGGACGGCGGCGCCCGGGCTCGCACGGGGGCGGATGGTGCCGTCGTGCTGAACCTGCGGCGCGGCCCGGGGGCCTACGCGCTGCTCTCGCGCGCGGACGGGCAGCTGACCCGGGCGGGCCAGCACTACTACTCCCACCTGGGCCTGCGGCCCCCCAGCAAGGACTTCGACTACAACCAGCCCCTCATCCGCGAGGGGCCCAACGACTACATCCTGCTGCGCAACGGGCAGAAGAAGCTCGTGCGCTCCCTGCAGGGCGGAGAGCGCCGGCTGACCAAGCTGGGCAAGGGCTTCTTCCGCGACAAGTACTACGAGTACCTGGTCCACGTGCCGGTGATCATCCGGGGCAGGCGGCGCAGCGGGCGGAACGCGGGCGCGGGCTACGAGCGCAGGGACTGGCTGCCGGTGAACGAGCTGGGCGCCATGACGAGGCACCCGGCGCACCTCGCGGAGGAGCAGGCAACAAGTGGAGGCCTCGCTGGGCGACCCGGGCGGCCCCATGCTCTCGGACGAGACTTCCTTGACCCTGGGTGGTCAGCACCCAGAGCACGCAGTATCGGAACTCCTGCGCCAGCGCATGAGGGGCCTGAGGAGCGTGAGCTTCCAGCTGCCCGCGAGGAGGACGTGCTGCCGAGCGCCTTCGAGGCAAGCCGCGTGCCCCGGCAGCTGGCCGAGCTGCGCAGCTGAGCGTGGAGAAGGTGTGCGCGGACTTCGACGCCATGCTGCGCCACGACTGGAGGCGCCTCGGCATCCGCCGAGGAGGTGCGAGAAACGCGCCCATGCGCGCGCTGAGCTCGCAGGGCGACCTCGTGGACAGCTACGACCCGGCGCTGAAGGCACCGCACCGTGTGCCGCCCATCCAAGAGTGGAGGCGCTTTGACGCCGCGGACGTGCAGCCGGGCTGTTCTGGTGCGAGGACCTGCGGGAGGCGCGGCAGCTCATGGCCGTCGGCGAGAGCCCCAAGGTGGCCATCAGCAGCCCGGCGCAGTACCTTGGCGCACAGATCTTCCTGAAGCTGCTGAAGGCGAAGTGTCCGGCGCGGCGGAGACAGAAGACCCTGGACTGCCACAGCGAGAAGACGCTGAGAGAGAGTGCGCAGCCTGGAGAGCCGCGTGGCCCCGGCCCGGAGCCCCAAGCTCCCCCTCTCTCGTCTTTGAGGCGCAGACGTGCAAGAAGGACGCTCTGTACGTCGGCGTGGACGCTCTCTCTGTAGAGGGGGTTTCCCAAATGGTTTATATTCTACCTGAGAGGCTCCTAACACTCGTCCGTCCAGCATTTGACCTCGTCCTGCGAAGGATTCGAAGTCTAAAACGCTGCGTGGAGGCGTGAGGCTGCAAAATAGAGACCCCTAGATATGCTTGCAATTTGGCTCCAGGTTGCATTTCAAGCGAGCCAACCTTTGCAGGGCTAAGAAAAAAAAAAAAAAAAAAGAAAACAAGGGGTCCCAAAAAAAGGGGTCCCCAAAAAAAAAGGGAAAAGGGGTTTCCTTTGGCAAAGCTTGACATCGCTTGAAATGCAACCTGGAGCCAAATTGCAGGGCATATCTAGGGGTCTCTATTTTGCAGCCACACGCCTGCACGCAGCGTTTTAGACTTCGAATCCTTCGCAGGACGAGGTCAAATGCTGGACGGACGAGTGTTAGGAGCCTCTCAGGTAGAATATAAACCATTTGGGAAACCCCCTCTACAGAGAGAGCTGCGGGAGTGCAGGGATTCCCTGCAGTATCCCTGCATCCAGGATTCCTTGCTATACGCGCAATTTCTTCAACATGTCGGAGTACATGTCGGATGAACATGTTCTTGGCACTCCGGGTGCGCCACCCTGCCGCGCCAACCCGCTGAACCCCCACTCTCCCCCGGGTCCTTGCTATATGTGCTATATGTGCTATATCTTACACGCCAAGCCGCGGAACCTCCACTCTCCCCCGGGCCCTTGCTATATGTGCTATATGTGCTATATCTTACACGCCAAGCCGCTGAACCCCACTCTCCCCCAGCTCCTTGCTATATGTACTATATGTGCTATATATTCTGTACGCGCGAAAATCTGTACTATATGTGCTATATAGGGCCATATAGCACATATAGTACATATAGCAAGGACCCGGGGGAGAGTGGATGTTCAGTGGCTTGCCTTGTGAGATATAGCACATATAGCACATATAGCAAGGAACCCGGGGGTGGATGTTCAGTGGCTTGCCTTGTGAGATATAGCACATATAGCACATATAGCAAGGAACCCGGGGAG